TTTATAGTATTTGGAACGAATATAACTGACGAATCGTATGACTAAACGAATATAACTGACTAAACAACTCTATGTTGCTTAAAAAAACATTTATGTTAAATAAAAACTTCTAAAGGGACTACCGTATAATCGAAAAAAAACGACCTTAAGTGGGCTCAGAAATGACGGTCTATGACATTCTTCATATAATTTTACAAAAAATAAAATGACAGACACTTCCAACCATCTTTAACGCTGTTTTTTCGATCCTATGATATATCGATAATATCGATTCAAGAGAATCAAACGACCGATGGAGCAAAGAACACAAATAATGGCCTCGCAACTTCCTCCGGACCAGCGGATCTAGAGCCCCCCCTCTTGGTGGAAGATTGAACTAACCCGAAAAAAAAACGTGGCGGCAAAAACCGTATTGCAAACAAAACGTTGCTATAAATGTCAATGAAAATAAGCGCGTTACAAAGACCGCGGGGGAATTGTGCAAGGCGCGCGCCCCACAATCTAGGTATCCGAAACTGTGTCAGAGGAATCGTCGAGTAAAAAAATTGTGACGCGCGGTTGCCGGATTGCCAAAACGCAGCGTAGCTCGTTCTTAACCTACCTACCTATAAATGTGGACGGGTTGGCGTGCAATGCGACCTATATATCGAAAAGTAAAGTAGGGCGTTTTGATAATGATAATAAAAACGTGGCATTTGTCAGTTATTAACAATTAAGTACTGTAGTGAAGATTAAGAAAATATTTATTAATCTTTAAAACTTTATACAAAAATATATTATGTATTTTATTTATTTGAATTTAATTTTTTAGCCATTGTGAACTTTTATGTCATAAGAGTTTACAATCATTCACATTGTTTAAAAATTTACAATTAAAATTAATAGAATATACTAGCAACAGCGTGCGGTAGTCAGTTGTATCCATAGAGGTAGCTTTATAATTAGCTTATAAAAAATAAACTTTTGATATCTAACCGTAGAATTTCTCTTGGCAGATGTTAATCATAGACCAAAATTATGTGTTACTCGTAAATTTTGAAGTATAATTAGTTAAAAGTTTTTCTACTAATTGAAAATTACTGCCACTAATTTTGACGTCCTGAAGGCTTAATTGAAATTAGATGAACAAATTTCTACGCTAATTGAAACCACTAATTTATTTTTAACACTTTTAAGATATTCTATAAATCTATACTTTGTCGTTACAGCATATACTTCTTTGTAAAAATTATAATACAATCGTATTTTTTGTCATGAAAATTGTATACTCCAACTGCATTCATTTGAGCTGCTATTCTATTGACACTATGTTGGTGCATTTTCTTTTGCGGTAGAAATCACCCCTAAAAACATTTGCACTTATTTAAGACACCCTGTATATTATGATTTTATATTCATTCGTATATTTGATTAAAATGAGACAGGAAATTGTGTCTTCAAATAATCTGAGATCTTATATGAATTAGTCGGATTCCGCTTGTCTTCATATATTATGTGCTAACAAGAACAAAGAAAGTATGTACCTATGTGTTAATTATCAAAAACCAACGCGTGTAACCCAATAAAGAAGTAAACCAGGTTTAATATTTTCCAAAAATGGAAAAATATATCTATAGAGCTGTTTAATGGTCTAATTCGTCAGATAAATTTCAGTTTTTAATTAGCAGTCACTATCTAAAGGCAAAACCTTTTACTATCTAAAGGCAAACCTAAGCACTTAATTTCAAAACAGAAACTTTAAATGGAGCTCAGAACCAAATTAAACGTAGCGCAAGACGGCTGGTTTTCTTGATTTGCTTGTCTTTTATATGCATGTCTTTTTTTTTGGTTGCAAACATTAAACGCTATTATATATTATAAACTCTATTTTTATAAACTATATTGATAGTTAAAAAACGGCAGTTAATTGACATTTCTACTATTTTATCAAACTGTTTCTTACTGATATTTTTAAGGTGCGTCCAGACCTGACGAAACGAGAGCAAGACAAGCGCGAGTCATTCCAAATTTGCTAAGTGTGAACGTGTCTCGCGTGAGCCTCGCGAGACAACCCACGGAGCCTCATTGCTATCCGTCGGTTTGCACAGTCTGGACGTGCTTTTGGTTGGCTCGCTCGACTGCGAGATATTGTGATATATGTGCTTCTTCTTAACCTTACCTATAAATTTTCTAGTTAACATTTTGTTCTAAAAAACGTATTTTGTAAAAGATGTCGTGTCTTGAAAAAACCGACGATGAAGAAAATACGACGAACCAAATACCATTTCAAAGATACAAAAAATTATTACTGTATGCGTTATTATTTTGCCATCGTTTGTTATTCAATTACAATTTAATATGTGTTTGGGTTCCTTTCACTATGATCCAACTCGCATGTCTCGTGGCAGGCTTGCCTCAAAAAATGGAAAGAACATGTCTCGCTTTCGTTTTGTCAGATCTGGATGCACCTTTAGGATCCGATCCTTACCGTTATTACCAACCTAGTTAATCTGATCTGATTTTACAGTTGTACAAATATAGAAAGAGACTTGGGGGATAGCACCGGTCGCGTGTTATTTTATATTTCACACGTCTCTAGCTATACTTGTTAAGTTGTACAACGGAATACAGTATGAATAGGGTTGCTCAAAGTGTCGATGGAAGTTGTTGCAACATAACCACTTCCATTTCATATAAATATGTTCATTTGTACTAGATTGGACTCTATATTCTCTGGACTGCTATATTTGGCTATATGTATGATATGCTCCAAAGTTTCTTCATTTTTGATGTAGTCTGCAACACAAAATATGAATCAAACGATAGCATTATTACCTCAAATTAGTTGACTATTCATTCCGCAGAACTGGTGGACTTAATTGTTATTAACAATCGTGCTAACAACGGCAACCATGTCGGCACACATAATCGTGATCGAAGAACGAGACGGGTGGCGAATGGAAAGAGAAAACAACAGAGATTACGTAAAGCCAACGAACAGTTGAAAGTGAAAATGATGGCGGCAATTTGGGCCAAGTTCAATAAAAATCGACGCGTTACACTTTTTTTAAATTGGTTTATGCCTCGAATTGAGGTTATGAGTCAGGCCGCCGCGCTTTTTATATCTATTTTAAAACGCTCACGAAACGCTCGTCATTATAATTGCAAATTTGCCCGATTGCTACCAAAAATGCGCCAGCCTAAATAGCTTTGTAGATATTTTTTCATCAATCATAATCTGTATTATTATCCAGAAAATTATTTACCTATAACACAAAAAAAAATTGAAAATATGAAAAAGATTTTTTGTGTCACTATCGCACTATATTTTGTTAAGTATATTTGTTTGTAAGTATTTTGCTGCGAAATGTAGAATTATTACATTTACTAGTCGAATAACTATAGTAAAATGTCACATAAAAAGGGCTAATATTATTCAAATTAATTCTGTGTTGATTTCAGGCCTATAGATCTTATTACACTTGACACTGTTTCAAAATCGACTGTTGACAAATCACTATAAATTATCTATATGTTTATATAGAAATATATATAAAAACTTTAATAAGTAATTATTGAATAAAAATGCTAAGGAAGAAATCTAATACATACTATTTTTATATTCATACATTAGAGACTGCAGTGAGACGTCAATTTGTTTTATATGGTATAGTATGGTTCACATTGACACATTTGAATTTGATTACATTTTTCTGGATTTATTGGAGTTTATTTTATGTTATTTCGTGTTTATTTTATATTGATTTAATACCAAGTGTACAAATTTGGAAAGACATTGTGTCTTGACAGACTTGAATTGAATTGAAGACAATGACTTGAATTAGAGTATCCAACATTACTTATTGGATGAATCTTAGAAATAAACCAACTGAAACATCTTGAACGACAATACTTGTGCAGAATACGATTTATCCCAGATATTTAAGCTAGCAATATTGAAGTATCATCTCAGTTGCGCAAATATTGTTGATATGATATGCCATGCAAATATTTTTAGAGGGAGTATATTTCGACCCCGGAAACACGATTATGAGGTTTTTTTCGCAAAAAAAATATAAAAAAATTTTGGAAATTTTTTTAATTAAAAAAGAATGTTTATAATTGCAACATAAGTAGTAGATTAAATTTACATCCAGAAAAGATCCAGTGTTTCGCAAAATTTTAGCAAAAATCATTTTTTTAAGTAAAATAACTCGGTTGTTTTGGATTAATTAAAAATGGTAAAGTAAAAATATGTTTCTTTTATCGAGATCTACCAGTCCTGAAAATATTGGCACTTGCTTAAGACTCATCCTGTATATTTAATTGTCTTATATCTATAAATGATGTGACAGTTTATATACCGTATGATCCAAACGGCGTCCAGTTGGCTTGGAAATGACGATGCCATATAATTTTACATATAAAATGACAGCGATCTTCATTTCATAGCCATCGATGACGCCGCGCCGCCGCTGTTTTTATTCGGTCATACGGTATAAATCAAGCGATCTTTCATTGTAGTAGTCATTTTGAATTTTTATGTGGTTATAGGTTACTCGGAAACCAATTAGTAACCTTTTTACTAACCTACAAAAAGATTTTTTTGTTGGTTAGTTAATAAGGTTTGTCAGGGAAGATTTCGAGTTATGACATCTAAAAACTGATAGAAAGTACAAGTTCTCTGTGAACTGAAATGGCAGACAAGAACTGTTATTCTCATGTATCCTCTCATTGAATAATTATAGAGTTTTCTATTAGAATAGATCTATAATGAAAAATAAAAACCGACAACTTAAAAACGTTAATTTCTTTAGTTTTTCCATTATCACTCCAATGCCACAACTTAGAAATTGCATTTCCACGTTAATCATTGGTATTTGAATCATTAACAACACGTCTACTATCATCAAATAGTACCAAAAAATCACAGGTTCAAACAAATCATCTTTGATGAACGCAAGTAACTGTACTTATATTCTTTACTATCGCTTCTATAACGTTTCATTTATTCTTTGCAGGTGGACGACCAGATGAAGCTCCTTCAACACTCCTGGTCAGACATGCTGGTCTTAGATCACATCCACCAGCGAATGCACAACAATCTCCCGGACGAAACCACCCTCCACAATGGCCAGAAATTCGACCTCCTCAGTCTCGGTCTTCTGGGGGTTCCCAGTTTAGCGGAACATTTCAACAATATAACCGCCAAACTACAGGAACTCAAATTTGACGTGAGCGACTACATCTGCATCAAATTTATGCTGTTACTTAATCCAGGTAAAAAGAAAATTGCTTGAATACTTTACACACAGGTGTTGTTTGTTTAAGGTACTCATTGACATATAAAGGTAAATCGTAATTCGTCATGAAATAGGCATTTAAAAAACGTCATCGAACGCCAGTCCAAGAATGGAACTCGGTATTTGCCTCGTATTGAATGGTTACCTTTTGCTTATGACCTGTATCGCGTTTGCCCATATCGAATTAATTTTGGAATGTGTTTTGGATTTTAGCAGAAGTCAGAGGTATCACGAATAGGAAGCATGTTCAAGATGGCTATGAACAGGTGCAACAAGCTCTTCTCGAATACTGCGTCACATGTTATCCTCAAGTGCAGGTAAGTCGATGTTCGAAGAGAATAATATAATAAAATAATTTAAGGCTTTTTGGTTTTAAGTAATATGCAAGGATATGATTTGAAGTAGAAATTACGAAGATAGAATACGAAGGGTATAATTTACCCTTAAAAATTTACCTCATAAAGAACCACCCACAGTCATAACCTAACCTAACCTAACCTAACCTAACCTAACCGTTCTCAAGATATTTGGAATCGAAATAGTCTGGAATGGATAGCTATTAGTCTGAAATAATAAATTTGAAATGTTTTGTGTCAAAGATTCAACAGGAACTGTTTGATCGTATTTTTTTTCTAGAAAAATTCATGATTAGCTTAAAAATATAAAAAGTTCTCAAATTTCTCATTTCAGTCAAATAACTATCTGGTCAACATGTTTATTTTTTCACATGTATTGAGTATTTCCATTCCAAATATCTTGAAAACGGTTGGTCGTAGCGATTTTTACAAAGATCCATTTTTACGTAAAAAAAATTACGGAAATGTATTTTTTCACTCAGTAGTTTAATACAAGTATGGACGAAAAGATATTACTCTTCAAAACGGTTCAAAAACATGTAGGTGGCGCCCTCTACAACTAAGAGTCATACTGACATCGATATCAAATTTCTTATGTGAAAATATACCCAGACACCGATTTTCATCCAAATGTGAACCTTAGTTCAGAAATTATATGGAAAAATGGAAATAAAAATGATATTTATAGGTATACCCCCTGTATCTCCGAAAGTAAACATTTTAGTTTTCCGATTACATTTCGGACCACCTTGAATATAATTTTTACTTTTATCTGACAATTTTCTTTTAAATAAATGTCCCACTTAATGGTCGTAGTATTTGACTAACGGATTTGAAGCTTCAGCCAAAAAAAATCGATATTGCCAATTTTATTAATTTACTATATTTATAGTTCATGTCTAGCATACATGATTATTTACAAACAAAATAGTTTAACGTAGTTTTTGTTGTTCAAAGTACCGTATGATCGAATAAAAACGGAGCCAGCGATGTCTGTGAAATGAAGATCGCTGTCATTTTATATGTAAAATTATATGGGAAATGTCACCGATCGTCATTTCCAAGCCAACTGGCCGCCGTTTTTTTTTCGATCATACGGTATATTTTCGTAATATTATCTTTTTTGGGCAAGCGGGCAACATCGCGCAAAATTTATCATGGGACGGATTCAGACCCGATTAGTAAAGTTTCCCTAACGGTTCGGTGCCATGCGCGTTACATATTCCTATTAGCCAGTACTGCTTCCAAATACATTTAAATAAAATATAGGACGGCCTCCCCATAAGAGCAATGAGAGGATTTACGTCTCAGTATTGAAGGACAGAAAATCGAGTCTGAATGGTGTCAGGACATGAGTTCATCCTTGTTTAGTCAAACCTCCTACAATACAAGGATAGACTTATGTAGGAAATGCATTGAAATATAGCCATCCTTCAATATCGGGACAGGAATTTAAGCGGTACCCTCCGTATATTTTATTTAAACGTATTTGACTGCCTCTAAGTTTATGCTCCTCCTTGGATAAAGTCTGTCGAACGAATCCAGGACTTCGACAAACAACATTCAAAAATTGACGGAAAATATAATTTAGGTATGCACTAAATGGCAGACACACCTGTCACTGTCATGTATTCTCTCGTCGCTTTAATTTTAATTTGATTGAGTTTAATGTAATATCCAGTGGCGTTGTTGTAATTTCATTTGTGAGGATTTTAATAAGTACAGGCTTTCTAAGAAATATACTTTTTTACTTTTGTTTTGCAAATCAGTAAGTTCACATCCGTTGAACAATATGTTTTTTTTGCATATTATTTACTCTCAAAACCATCGCAACCACTTTAATTTTTTAACTTTACACAAGTATAGAAAAGGTTTTCTTGTCTTTATTCTTAACACTTTAAATCCTGGTTTATATTACACCAGAATGGACAGACTTAAAAGATGTTAAGGAGCAACGGCTCACCAGTTTAGTCTTAGCAGCAGAAATGAGACGTGAAACGTTTTTGCTTTTTTTTTTAAAGATTGTTGTTTTTTAAACGATTGTTAAGTTTATTTTACTTAGAAACGATGTTTGTTTCAGGATAAATTCAACAAAATGCAAGGCATCCTTCAAGAGATTCACACTTTAGCGACGCGAGGAGAGGAACATCTCTACCACAAACACTGTAGCGGTTCGGCCCCCACGCAGACACTGCTCATGGAGATGTTGCACGCGAAGCGGAAATAACGGCCACTCAGAGGTCCCTCCTAAACCTACCCTACCACGTTACCATATCTGTGTGCAATAGCGGCTTCTTACCATGAAAAGTGTACATAATGACAGATGAAATCTCATACGTTGTTTATTTTTCAAAGAAAAAGACAGTTTTCGTTTAGTCGTTCGAGTCGACGATCACGCTGTCCACTGAGGGGACATAGGCTAGTCACTGACCCAATCTAATCTATCGAGTTGTTCTTGATGTTGTTAATAATGCTCCAAAAGTCAAACACAATCCTGTGGATATTACGTTGAATCGACAGATTAGTTTCAGCGACTGGCCTATAATAGGACAAAAAAATTCTAGAAGTGATGCCTTCACTAAGTACAAATGGCCCTTGGGGCGGCACGAAACATTTATCTTTTTTTTGTAATTTTAACTTTTTACTTATGTTTATCTTACTACTTAACGTCCACAGTACCGCCGATGCAACTTTTGTTTTCGTCGTTTATCGTCATGAAACTGATCAAGCAAACTGGTTTCATGTTAGCATGTAGCCTAATGAGTTTTGTTTAAATGTGATACTAGATAGAGACACCGCCTCATATATATATATATATATATATATATATATATATATATATATATATACAGGGTCTGGCAATAGTGCGTCGGGCATCTGTAGCTCCTAGAATAAAAAAGTTGAGAATTTTGTTTAAGTGCAGACCTAAAGTATGAACAAGGATGTATTTCAGGAAAATATTTTAACTTCTATAGGGTAGCTCAAAAAAGTGTGAGTGAACCTGGATGATTTTTTTTAAATGGAACACCCTGTATATTATTGCATTTTTGGATTCCTTTCAGATCACTTTACATAACCCTAAGATATGAATAAATATATTTCGATAGTTTCAGAGATATTAAAAAATAAATCAAAAATATATATTTTTCAGCCCTTCTTAAAAAAAATTATTAAAAATACAAGAAGTGTTCTGAAATCAAAACTATATTAGGTATTTACTTTAGATGGTCTGTTCTTACTTTGCTATAAATATGGTAATCGTAAATCATACAGGATGTTCAATATTCTACGCCAAACTTTTTAAAATATAAAATATTTTTTCTTCGTTTTATTAAATGGAACACCCTGTATATTATTTTTTTATTAGATGGAGAATTAAAAAATGATCATTTTTTGTACTTAGAGTATTTAAATTCTTTTAACGGTTTCGCAGATATACGCAGTATTATTTCATATGGCACTTTCAATGGTAAAATACGAGACAAAAATCATTGGGTGGCTTTGATAAAAATTTACTGTGGAAAATGCCATATGAAATATAAAAGTCCAAATATCTGCGAAACCGTTAAAAATTTTGAAATACTTTAAATACAAAAAATTTTCATTTTTTAATTCTCCGTTTATTGAAAAAATAATATACAGGGGTGTTCAATTAAAAAAACGAAGAAAAAATGAACATTTAGAAAGTTTGGCGTAAAATATCAAATACCCATGTAAGTACGATATGATTACAGTTTTGATTTCAGAACAGTTCTTGTATTTTTAATAATTTTTTTTAAGAAGGGCTGAAAAATATATATTTTTGACTTATTTTTTAATATCTCTGAAACTATCGAAATATATTTATTAATATCTTAGGGTTATGTAAAGTGATCTGAAAGAAATCCAAAAATGCAATAATATACAGGGTGTCCCATTTAAAAAAATCATCCTCATCCACTCACACTTTTTTGAGCCACCCTGTAGAAGTTAAAATATTTTTCTGAAATTCATCCTGGTATATTATTAAGGTTAGCACTTAAACAAAATTTCCAAGTTTTTTATTCTAGGAGCTACAGATGCCCGACGCACTATTGCCGGACCCTGTATATATATAACCTTACATTTTTCGGAAAAATGCAAATTATTCATTAACACGTAACACAAAATTACAGTCGTTTACGTGCGTTTTGATTCGACCTCAAATTAGTGATTTTTTCTCGTCGAACCCTAAACGAGGACAAGAGAGGTTTTATTCTATCTAGACCTGTAAAAAATTCATAGGGGAGTCATCCTGTTTTTTGTTACACATTCCAAATGTGCTCCCGTGGGATAAAAGGGCATCGTAAAGTAGAAGCTACGAGTATTAGAATGCGCGAGAAAAGGAGAGAGAGAAAGGCATAGAGTGAGAGAGAGGTCGAGTGAATGACGACGCATGCGCGTACCGCACCTTGTGGCTGAGCTATGAAATATGTATGTATGACTTTGACGTGTTCGATTTTTTTATTGTTCAGACACATACACACAAACACATGTCTATTAGCTTAACATTTTTCTTGGTGAAGGACTAACAAATTTTTATTGTAATTATTAATTTGTGTAATTATAGCATTAATAATACTTTAGTTTTTAAGTTTAAAGTTATGTCGTAAGTACGCATTAACGTTATATAACAAAGAAGGTTGGTACTGTGGTCGCCTTTTTATCGTATTGTTAAAATCGAAAATTCTATTTAATTACTTTTATATATTGTTGGTTACCTCTATTGGTTACTGTTAAGCAAACAAGTCTTGTTATCTTGTCTCTATCTTCTATATATTGATTATTATTTTTATGATCCATAAGAGACGAGCGAATTGAAACATCGAAATTTTATGTAAACAGTAAAATTGTTAAACCGTACATATTATTTTTGTAAAAGTTGATGTTTATAAAATTGTGATATGCTTTTTAATTATTGTATAAGTACATATTCTAATGTTAGTTGCAAGTGTGTCATGCTAATAGAAAATACATTTTATTAGAAACATCTGCACTCAAAATTGATTGTTTCACTGTCAATTTAGAGTGAAGTTTAATAAAAAGACAAAATATATCTTAGCACCACACTTTGTAATGTGTGTATATTAATGTGATCAATGTGTTTAACATCTTTTGGATTATTCCCTATTATTTTTTTTAAATAAAATGTTTAATTCTGATTGACTTTCCATTCTGAATGCTGTTAAGTAATTATTAATAAATAGTTTGATTTTACCTTTGTTTTTTACTACTTGAAAATTAATATTACATAATATTTCTTCTTGTAAGTAAGTTTTTAACAGAATGTCTTAAAAGATTGAAACACATTGTATATTTTAGTGAGACAGGAAAAATTAGCAATCAAAGTTTCTGAAAAAGTGTTTATAGTATTTAAAATTGAAGTGGCTGGCCCACACAGTATAACTATTTTTGAATGTTAATTATCTATATTTTATGGAAAATTGTTCATTTATTAAGTCCATACTTGTTTCATAATGCACTAGAGGCACTTTTTCAAATAATAAATATACATATATTTTCAAAAAGAGATCTATTTATTTTTATATATCCGATCTGTGATAAGGTACACATAATTGTAAACTAAGCAGAAAATTATAGTACATCACAAAAGGAAGTTATTTTTTGAAATAAAGAACCATCACGGTATATTTTGTGGTATTTAGCGAAACAAAATTATTTTTAAAAAATATATCTGAGGTCACAGGACAAAATGAATTGTAAATTTCATTCTTCCTGTGGCACAACTGTAAATATATATAAATATAATATGGCCATCCAAAGCAAAGTAGTGATAATTGTCTTAAATAAAAATGGTGCTTGGATAACGCATGCAATTCGTCGTGCTAGCTAGCAGTTATAATCTGAAGCTTGTATCACAATTTTATAGTTTGTACGTACTATTTTAACCCTCTTGCATAATAATAATCAAATGTACGGTTATTAACATATACACACACACTCCCCCTCCACCAACTTGTAAATATTTAAAAATGTTATATATATATATTATATATTGTTAAGTAGATTGTTACTGTTGATACGTTTGCGTAAATGTACCATATTTTTTTTCGTAGGACTTTAACCTACTGTGACAGGTAGCAAGTAATTGTTACAATACATTGTAGTCACTGAAAATATCCTCTAAGAATATATCATTCTCAATAAATTTAGGCCTAAATTGAGTACAAATATTTGAAATAATTTTGATTAACTATTTATTCAAAATATTAATGTAACCTAATATTTGTATTTGTTGTCATATATTATGTGTATTACTTCCGTACTTGCCCTGGAACAAAGTAGGAAAAAGCCCAAAAGCTTATGTCATGAAAAATATTATATATTTATATAAAAATTCTACACTTATTTAAAGCAGTGTGATTGAAAGGTTGTAAATATAATTTATGTGGATCAAAGTGAATTGTTTGTAGAATAAATCACTGTCAGATTATCTTTGGAATTTTTATTTTCGGTTGCCTTCACCAATTTATCATTAAGTACCAAACAGAGAAAACTACAGAAACATACAATAAAAAAACGGCGCCAAAGACGGCTAGGGAATGATAATTTTGGCGAGGTCAATTTCTAGACGTCATTTACTAAAAATTAACATAAAACTTAACAAAAATTAACAATTATAATATAAAAATAAATTACAACCTTCTTAAGGCGAATTGAAGTGAGCCGTTATAATAATATAGTATATCCAACAGGAGAATAAGTGAGAGTAACTGTTGTCTTTGACATTTTAATTCAAAAGTAAAACGTTCTTTTTGAAAATTTTGAGGTTGTCGCCTTGAAAAATTATCTCGTCTAACGCTAGAGTGACTTTATAGAGTAATCTCAGAAAAAAAAGAAGCAAGATGTCATGCCAGAGTTAACGCCTCCCCCAATGTTCTCCGTGCTATGCAGAAGTAATTTAGATCCTGATAGTGAAATTCCACACTTCTAGAGAAAAACACTAAGTCGATGATGGAGCATCGAAATGCCAATATGAGACTAGGGATGGTGGTAATCTGGTAATGCAATCGAGATATTAATGACGCAGTAGTCTCTTTGGATGCGGTTAGCCTACCTATAGATGGTCTTTGGCTAGCGATCAGCGAGATAATATAGATGGATAGGTATTCAAAAAATGACTAAACTAAAATGAGTTAAGCGGCATTAGACGAATAGAACTCTTGAAGCGTTGTTTTTTTAAAATATAAATGTATTTATTTAATTAAATATAATTACACCGAGAGCTGGCTACATAAAAAAAACCTTATCATCGTTACATGGCTAATTTTTTTGTGTAGCCATTGTGAAATAGTCATGTCTGCCAGCGCGATCCCGGGGCTTAAAGCGGGGGCGGCCAATCGAAAGGGTGAAATTTTGACACTAAAAATATTATAAGGTACATGAGTTATAATTGCCAAATAGCTTTTATTTATTATTAGGAAACGTGTAAAATTGTTGACAGACATTTTTCTCGTGGCTGAAATGCCGGCAGACAACGCGAAAGAGGCATAGAATTTTGACAAAAGAAAATCATCGCATACATGCATGTCGGTTGGTGGAATGTCATGTTTATTGTTAATTAATTTAAAAAGCCGTATGCAAAAGGGCAGACAAAAAAATCGTTTTTGAAATAATAAAAAAAATATATTTATAATATATGTAATCGTACATTATATGATTTATCTATACTTAAATGGATGAGGCGGGGAGCGTTCCCTGAAAGCGCTAGAGTAATATCGCGCTTTTGATAACTGTCTGCAGCTGATTGAGCCACGATCTTTTTGTCTGCCCTTTTGCAAACGGCTTTTAAAATAAATAAATATGATATTTCACCAATTGGCATGCAAATATTCCATAATTTTTTTCATTCTTCAAATTTCATTTTTTAATAATTTTTAAAATTTCATGCCTCTTTCGCGTTATCTGTCGGCATTTTAGCGATTGGGAAAATGTCTGCCAACAATTTTCCACGTTTCTTAATAATAAATAAAATCTATTTTTGCAATTAGAGCTCATGTATCTTATAATATTTTTAGTGTCAAAATTTCACCCTTTTGATTGGCCGCTCCCGCTTTAAGCCCCGGGATCGCGCTGGCAGACATGACTATTTCATAATGGCTACACAAAAGGACACTTCACACAAAAAATTAGCCATGTAACGATGATAAGGTTTTTTTATGTAGGCTCTTAGACTATATACAACTGTTTAAAAATATACAATTCAAAAATATTATTTAGTAAGCTTCATCTTTGTGGCAATTCTTAGTTGTGTCCTTCTTCATCTGCAACAGTTTGAAGACTTTTAAGACTCTCCCTTGGCAGGTATAGTATCGAAGGATTTTTTTATAAATTGATCTATGTCGTCTACGTTTATTCGCTCTTCTGAAATATCATGTTTTATTTTTTTTTTAAATTTTTATAATTTATTTGTGTTAATTCTTTGGTAACATATTATATATTGTGGTCGTTTGTGTTTTAAGTTTTCGTGAAAGTTTTTTTTTAGTTCTCTTCTTCTGATGTCTGATTTTCTTCTAGTTTCGTGTATATTTGTGTGTTAAAAGAAATATTTATTTTTATTAATTTATTTTTGATTTTGTATAGAACTAATATATTTAGTTCTTTTGTTTTTTGGTATACTTCTTCTGTTGGTGTTAGTTTATCTAGGTTAAATATTATTTTTAGTATTTTATTTTGTTGTCTTTGTAGCTTTGTAGCATGTTTAGGTTTTTTCTATTGTATTACTCCACGTATTAATTAAATATATATTTCTTGATGAAAATAATGTATGATATATTGGTTCCTATTTTGTGGTAATATGTTTTTAAGTTTTAGGAGTGTGGCAATTGTTCTGGCGTTTTCTTTTTTTTAACTATTTATATGCGTATCCCATTTTAAATGTTGATGAATTTTAATAACGAGGTATTTTTTGCTCGTTTAGAGTTATATTTGTCTTTTGTTTGCTTTTTTATATTAAATCTTGTAAATTTTCTTTTGGATTCATTTATAGTTAGTGAATTATTGAAGCACCACATTTCAAATTTCATCAGATCATTATTTAATTTAGGTTCACTTGTAAATTTTTGTAATCTTTGTCAGAATACACAATACATAAATCGTCAAAAGAATTTGTTCAAATAAATTGTTAGTATAAAGAATGTATAGCAGTGGTGGCAAGTTACCACCTTCTGGTAGGCATATGGAGCTATGCTACTATTGCTTTCTATGTCTCCGATTTTTGTTTTCTGTGGTCTGTTATTCAAATAACTTTTTACTAGGTTGATGTAGTTTTCAAATCCATATGAAATGAGTTTCACTAAGAGTTTATCATTACTCACTGTCTGAAATGCTATTTTCATATCAAAAAATTAAAAAAAATAAATGTCGTTTCGGGCTTGACCTCGCCAAAATTATTATCGATTGTCATTCCTCAGCCGTCCTTGACGCCGTTTTTTTTTCGATCGCATGGGATTATATTAACTTTAAAAAATAAAAATAAAATAAAATTTTGAGAAGAAATGTAGTTGATTATTATATTTTATAATTAATTAAGAAGAAATAGAAGAACCTGCACTGTAAATTACTTTCTTTTTTAAATTTGTTACTGACTGTATCAAACAAAAATATAAACCTTATTATATTTAGCATCATAAGCTTTGATTTGAATTTATTTGTTATCATTCATCTTCAGACACCGAATATTCTTCGTCTCTGTTTAGTATACGTGAACAATAGAATCAAAATTTCAGCATTATTGGTGACAAACTATACAGTAAGTATAACTATACAGTAATTCTTATGATGTTTATGCAAAAGCACAAAATACTGAAAAGAATAAATTACATAAAATCGTCAATAAGGTCACTTATTCAAAAATAGCCCGCTTTTTGTTCCAGCTTGGAGAGGATTTACAGGGATACAGGCGAATTTTGTAATCAATATTATTAATTTTTAAAAAATATGTGATCTTATTTTTTTGAAATAACATAAAATTAGTGTACACCATTAAATACTAAGCTCACTATACTAATGTCATCCTGCTAATAATGCATGTAGATGTTTTCATTCAACTTCTTATGTTGCAGGATTTGCAAATTTAAAGGCATAAGTGCGCGCCACTGAGGTGTGTCTATATACGTTAGCAGGACAGCATCAAAAGGACAGTGTGTTTTTTCGCTTCAGATATAATCATGCTCTCTATTGTCTGTGTTATTATTTCGTTGGTGCTTTTAGTTACTGCCACTTGCATACGTCCAAAAAACTATCCACCAGGTGAGATTATTAATAATAAGCTCTCCAAAAAAATCTTATATGGGTATTTCGCCACTGCAAAAAAATCTACAATGATTTACAGAACGTCAACGGTTTTTTGTAGACGTATCTGTTTAAAAAAAATAAAGTGTTCTCGAATAGTAACATTTAAATATTTTAAATAGTTTTTTTTATTCTTTGTATTTTTTTTGCTTCCGACGACGGAAAGAGATAAACTTTCCGAAACGTTAAGCATCTTTTTGTTCCTTAGGCCCATTTGTTTATCAGTAAACTTAACTGCTGACAAGTAGTCTCTGTTGGATTAACAAGGGATTAACGCCAGCAGCGTTTACAAAAAATAACTAATTTTATTTTGTAGATTTTCTTGCAGTGGCGAAATACCCATATAGAATTTTTTTGGAGAGATGAATCGGCCACATAGGTATAGACATTTTTTATTATTAATAATAATAAAAATAAATCATCTTTATTGTACTATAAAAAAAAGATGGTTACAATTTGTGGGGAAGTTTAGCTAAAAGCTATTCTACCAATTAATGGAAGAAATGTGGATTCAATCCACAAAAAAATATAAATAATAAAAATATTGAAAAATAAAAAAAATTATCAGACAAATATAATATAATAATTTCTTTCACTTTTGTATAAAAGTAAATTATGTGCAATGAACTTATTTTGATTCAAAAAATACGTACTTGTTCTATGGTCACGGAACATTCGAACTCCCTGTATATTTTGTAGGACTGCTTTGGAAAAATAAATTCTCCAAAAATTTTTTTCTCAAAAACTATGCGATGTGGCTTTTTTTACAAGAGACAAAAAATGTAGTAAATACTAGAGCGACCATTTTACGAAAAAAAATTGGCGCCGGGAGGCACGTATAGCCGCCCATACTAAAATATGTTAATATCTCGAAAACTGCGACTTTGACTGATTTTGATGTTATTACAAATTTTGTTGCAAATATTATTCCTAATCTTAATTTAAAAACCGCGTTTCACTAGCTACTGTAATTTTGGAGTTACGATTTTTTAAAATTTTTAACCCCCTCCCATACCACCTTACCAACCAACCACCCCCACCAAAAACTAATGGCCAGATTCTCGGGTGCCACAGTATTTTTGTGCCAAATTTGGTTAAAATCGGTTCAGCGGTTTTTGAGTTATCGTGTTACAGACGGACAGACAGACAGACACCCTGAAAATATTTTATGACCCAAATAACTCATTTTGAGTGAAATTAAAAAAATAATTTTGCCGATCTTAATAGCCTACCATACCTATTGGTCGGCTAAAAATCGGTCGTCGCTTGAGTTGGCAAAATATTTATACTAAAATTTATGTAAGGGTGGGGGTAGTTTTTATCCTTCCCGGACTTTTTCTTGACTTTTGTAAGTTAAATGTTAAAGCAGTTAGCAAAACATCGGCACCCCAAATTTCACTCAAATCGGAATAACGGTTCTTAAAATATCTTAAAAAATCTGTTTATTTTTTAAAAGTTTGATGCCCTCTAGCGGACAAACGAAGCAGTTTTCTATAGATGTATATTGTGTCTAATGAACTTATTTTGATTTCAAAAATAAATAGTAGTTCTATGTCTACAGAATATTGGGACACACTGTATATACAAGACTTTTTTAGCCGACCATACCAATAGGTATGGTAGGCTATTAAGATCGACAAAAAAAAGTTTTTTAATTTCACTCAAAATGAGTTGTTTGAATGGATATTTTCATGGTGTCTGTCTGTCTGTCTGTCTGTCGGTCTGTCTGTCCGTCTGTAACACAATAACTCAAAAACTGCTAAACCGATTTTAACCAAATTTGGCACAAAAATACTGTGGCACCCGAGAATCTGGCCATTAGTTTTTGGTGGGGATGTGGGGTTGGTAAGGAGGTCCCCTTACCATACCATAAAAATTTTAAAAAATCGTAACTCCAAAATTACAGTAGCTAGCGAAACGCGGTTGTCAATTTAAGATTACGAATAATATTTGCAACAAAATTTGTAATAACATCAAAATCAGTCAAAGTCGCAGTTTTTGAGATAAAAAAGAATTGGAAAAATTCCTTTACTTACTGTAGCTGGAGGTTATTTACAATGTAAAACAAAATGCAATGATTTTAAGCTGTTCTGATAATTAAATTTACGTGTCTTTGGTCAAGAGCAAATTTCCATTATTAATGATTACTTTTCATATAAAGATGGTCGATACAACATTATTTATTATAAAAATACAATGTAGGTCCCAGGCTTATGCCAATTATAGGAAACATTTTCCACTACAAAATCAAATATAACAAACTAAAGTATCATCATTTGGTATGGATGGACATGGCAAAGCATTATGGAAATATTGTAGGAACAAAATTAGGTATTAATAAATAACATAATATTTGAAGTTTGTTTATATTAAGTATACTTAAATTGTTTTTTAAGGGCGATATTTGGTGGTTACAGTAACTGGCTCAGAAGCTATAAAAGAAGTCCTTTCACGTGCAGAATTTGACGGCAGACCTGACGGTTATTTTTTCAGGTTACGAACTTTTGGAAAACGTTTAGGTAAGTACCATACGATCGCGAAAAAAAAACGGCGTCAAAGACGGCTGGGGAATGACAATCGATGATCATTTTGACGAGGTCAAGCCCTAGACGTCACGACTTAGCCCGTTATCTTCTTTAATTTTTAATAACGCTTACTGCTAGCTGGCCTTAAGAAGATTGTAATTTATTTTTATATAGAGTAAAAATGATTTTTAAATGATGCAGTTTGAAATTCAAGAAAAAATATTTTTTTGAAAATAAGGTTTGTATGTCTGGAAACGTTCTACTCTTTTTTAATCTTTCTATAATTAGTATTAATTTTTGATAAGTTTTATGTCAATTGTTTATGTCGTTGTGTTATGTCGAAACTTGTAAATGACTGTCATTCCCCTGCCGTTTTTGATAGGGTTACCAGAGGTCCGGATTAATCCGGACACGTCTGGATATTCACTACGTCCGGTTGAGTCCGGGCGAATTTTTCATAAGCGTCCGAATATTAATGTTCCATTAAGAAATGTGGCAATAATGCAAAATAATATATTAGTTTTAATAAATATAGTTACTTAAAAAATCGTCGATAAATTCAGCAGTGTAAATTCATTGTTTTACTTCGTAAGTTTTAAGTTTTGAAAGTTTTTGTATGAATTTTTTTTTCAAACGTCACAAAAGTATTAATTTTTGGGACGTGATTGACAACATAAAAAAGTAATTATAACGCCTAGGTATAAAAGTAAATCACTTTTACGCCTAAGCACAAAACTAGGAAATATATTAAAACTGACATAATGTCAAATTCAACGAGCGTAACCATAGTTTCTCGATATACGTATAATTACTTACAAGGTATTACTTTTAAATCTTTTTATATTATTTGGAACGTTTAAAATTGTTGTAAAAATTATTTGTGGCGTTAGGAAAAAAATAGAATGTTCTATTCGGAGTAAAAATGATTTTTTGTGCCTCGCCTGTATGTTAAACGTCCATTCCACAGCCTCGCCACAAAAAGTATCATTTTTACTCCTAATAAAACAATATACTATTTTTGCTCTTATATCGCCAAAAAATTATGTCGTCCGGATTTTGTCCGGATTTTTCGGAAGGCTTGCCCGGGGCGGATATAAGTTTTCATCTGGCAACTCTATTATATCTTTGACGCCTTTTTTTCGATCATACGATAGATATCAACATAGTAGCCAAATAAAGTGTGTCCATAACTGCGTGAACTAGAATAACTACAAGTTTCATGAAAAGTTGATCAAGCTGTCTTTGGACAATCATTAGATAAAAAATTCTGATTTATCTAATGATTACTATATTAAAACTTTTTTAACTGTCATAATCTAAGCCCGCTTGATCAAAAAATTCTGCGATCGTACAGCAACATTTAATGAAAGAAATAAGTGTATAATTGAGTTCATTATATTTTTATTATCACAATGCACTCAAGAATGTAATTTCTAGCATTAAAATTAGAAAGTTATAGAGTTGGTGGACAAAAAATAGTGTAGATAAGTTTTTTCTTGTAATGGGTTTTCCTTCATTAGCGTTTTCAAAACTTACGAGCCGCCACTGACATTTCGTATACAATACGTCAAAGTTTACAGTATTCTGTAAACTTTGAATACGTCCCCGGTTTGTCTTTAGAAGAAGAATCGTCCATTTAGAGGAATCGCCAACACCGTGAAATTGTATCTTGATATTATGTCGATTTCGATCTTCTTGTTAAGATAACACAATTTTATTAATCATAATCAATAATATATTAAAATAAAAATAAAATAATTAAATAATTTATTTAATGTTATTTATTCAATGTCAATTTTATTAAAATTTATTCCACTGATGTTCAGGGCTACGTAGAGCAAACGGAAAAAATAATGGTATTTAAGATTTTTAAGATAATTACAAAAGACTGACTTTTTAAAAGTTTTAACATCCTATAACTTTAAAACTAACCATTTTGGCACCCATGTTTATATGAACTTTTTTTATCTCTTAAAAGTTGCTATCAGACTTGGATTAAGGCAAATTAATACAAGTCAACATTAATAACACAACTAACAATCGACAAAATATCAATACAACTTTTAATCGGCATTAAACATATAATTTTTTTTAGAAAAATATTCCAATGATAACCCATATGCACGTCCCTGTTGATTATATCGAGACTTTTTTAGCATTAAAATACGTCGCACTTTTAGTAACTTTTATCTTTTAAATTTCATTCGAATCTCTAATTAATCGAAAAAAAAATGAAGAATTGAACCCCCTGTAGCTACGAAAAGAAGCAGAATCGGACTTCTCTTGATATATAAAATAAATTTTAGTTTTTTCCCTACGCATATGTTATTTGAAGTACCTACTGTATACCTACTGTATGTCCCATGTCCTACTAAGTACCTACTGCATACCTACTGTATGTCCCATGTCCCCGGATTGGACAAGAGGAAAAACTTTTTTATTATTAACATTTTGAGAAAAATGCATTCTTCCTAAAATTCATTTCATTTTTGCTTGTTCTAAAATGGTTAATCCCGTTTATACTTTTCCAAATTTCCATACCGTTTTGGAGAAAATAATAAAAAAACAATAATAATAATAATATAATTTCGATTTCGTTCTTTAATAGATGGTTATTATTATATTATTTATTTTGATTGGCGTCATATTTTTTCTGTTGATAAAGTATTACAATTTCCGATTACTCTTTTCACCCCTTTCGCACTGAACTAAATAAATGTTGTGCTTTTATAACATTTTAGAATAGCAGCAAATATGACATTAATTAAAATTCTATCATAACATTCTATCAAAGAAAGAAATCGAAGTTGTATTACTATTGAAACGCCTTTTGATTTTTGGAAAATTCAAGCTTATTTTCATATTTTTTCTAATTTTCCCTAAAACAATATAGAATTTTGAAAAAGTATAAACGGGATTAACCATTTTAGAACAAGCAAAAATGTTTATGAAGAATGCATTTTTCTGAAAATATTAATAATAAAAAAGTTTTTCATCTTGTAAAGACAATCCGGGGACATACTGTATGTTTTTTTATTACTGTGGAAATAAATATTAAATTCCAAGTTAGTTAAACCAGTGAAAACAACTAGAATTCACAATGGCCAAAAGAAGAATCTGAAAGTGCCGGTTTTTTTTCGATTTCTTCAGCGACATGATCGTCCCATTTAATGTCTTTAAGCTGGAGAAAGGTCAGTATTCGAAGGGTCACTCACAGGCTTTTTACCCTTTCGGAGTTCGTTAGACCTGTTTTCACAAATAAAATTCGACGAAACTTTATTTCACCAGGTTGCGCCAAACCGGTGAGACAACATTACCTACACTGAACTTTTTACACCGAAAAATAAGTATACTTTTCGGGTAATGCAGCTATTTCAAATGGAAGTAAAATAAAATTTTTCTGGTTTAATATTACTCTAAATTTTAGGTTTAAATACTGTCGATATCTTTAAATATCTTAAATTATCATAAGGGATTCAATAAATTATATATTCCTCTTAGTATCTACCATAGTATCTACCGCTTAGATTTGAAATTAATATGGTTCTGTATTCTGCTTACCTACCAGTTACAGATTAATATAGTTCTAATATCTAATTAGGAACATGTTTATTTGTATAGCTAAAATGTCAGAAAAAATGTTTAATTACTATTCAAAGAAAATGGATTTTCGTGTGTTTTATGTGGTTTCTCGATTATGAGTAGAGCATTTGTTGTTGCTTCTTAGCTTCAATCTACTAATACAGGGTGTTTCTTAATGTCATGCTAATACTTAAGAGAGTGATTCTTGGTCCTATTCTAAAACCTTTACCTTAATATATGCCCTAAACATCTTAATTTCTGAGATATAGGGTGATAAAATTTTCTTTTTTTCACAATAACTCTGATTTTATTATAGATATCTTTATGAAACTTAATACGCATCTTGTATGCATCAAAATATCTTTTTTGGTGTTCAAAGAATTTTATTTATTTCAACGTGCCATCCATACCGGTTTTACGTTGAATATTTTTGGAGTAAAAGGTGGTACACCACTGACTTCTCTTTACATAAAAATTATCTTCAAAATCGCCATTGATTTGTAAACATTTTTTATCTCTTGATTGTTGTCGTCCCATGCATAATTTTAGCTTAAAAAATTAAAATCAGTTTGTTTCAGGGTCGCATCGGTGAAAATCTGATGCTGGGGCTGTTGTGTGGAAATAATTTCCTTGATTTATGCATTTTGATGCATGGAAGATGTGTATCAAATATAACATTTAAAAATTAGAAAATTTTACCACCCTGTATCTGAAAAGTTAAGATGTTTAGGACATATATTCATATGAAGTTTTATTCTTAGAATATGTCCAAGAAACACCTCCTTAAATATTGGCATGTCATTAAGGAACACCCTGGTGTCCATTGAGGAGACATTTCTTACTTAAATCAAGGAAAAGCTTCGATTTTTCTGTGTCGTAAGTCCTAAGAAGGTGCCCGGTGGCGTAGAGGTACAGGCTCTCGTCTACCAATCTGAAGGTGGTGGGTTCGAATCCCACACCCGGCATTTCATCAGCCGACTATTTTTATTAAAATAAAAATAATTTGGGTACCTAGGTCGACTCAGCCTTAAATGAGTACTTGGGATTCACAATCCTGAGGTAATAATGGGCGGTTGAAGCGTAGTGCTATCCACATTACCTTCCTTGTATACCCAATGGCTCTAGTATGTCAAGCTGTACCTTGCTACTCCCAAGGCGTTAAACGCTATATACGGGAGCTATTATTATTATTATAACTCCTAAGAAATTTCTTCGAGTGCCTTAGATTGTTGGATTAAAGTTTAAAGTTGGATGATTCCCGTTCCAAGTTACGGATGGAGTCTTCCAGGTGCTTGAGTTCTACCTTAGTGCATAGTTTCATATACATAAATGTCAGACGCACTGTGGCAGAACTTAAATGAATTGAATTACTCAGCACTGTGAATTTTGTGAACTATAAACTAGTCTTTTTAAAAACAATAATTTGAAATTTACTGAAAATTAATATAGATTTATTTTAGGAATTGTATTTAGCGATGGTAAATTATGGAAAACACAACGAAAATTCTGTCTGCAAGGCCTGAAAAACTATGGTTTTGGTGGCAAGAAAATGGAGGAAAAAGTTCACGACGAATGCGTTGCTTTCGTTGAACGTTGTCGAAAAGTATCCAACCAGGAAATTTTTATGCACGATATTTTCGGTATTCCAGTTATAAATGTTCTCTGGGCCATGATCGCAGGTAAAATCTACCACTAATACTCGTATTATAATAATTAGAGGATATCGATTAAAATTAGATTAGTTGCTGCTAGAGTTACTGCAACAGCCATTTCCAAAGCCCCTCTATTAAACACATTATATTGGTGCAATTATAATGCTCCCGCAAGATGTACTTGTTTCTTTGTTCCGGAGTCCATTAAGAGAACATACTGTTGGGCTATCTATTATCCAAACTCATGCTCCTAAACTAATATCAACCAGTGCAAGACTTACGCAAGACAAAGATCAAAACCTAGCATGGAAGACTCTTGCGGTCTTCTACGCACTACGGCATACGTCACGCTTTAGAGCATCATCAGATTCGGAATTACGAGCGTTCATTGTTTCTTTAACCGTTCCATTCTAGAATTTTTTATGTCTACCTCTCTTTCTTCAATGGAAATATTTTTTAGGCACCGGTATACGCAGAATATGTCCAAACTACTTTAGGGTCAACACAAGCTGCATTTTTCGATTCGATTTAGGATAGGCCTGACCTCGATGTTTGTCTTTTTCCATTCTAGATATACCTGCGCTTCTTCCGAGGTAGGCTATTTCAACCAATGAACTATATACTAAAGTATATAGTTCAATGATTTCAACCGTGTGAGGCAAGGTATCAAGTCGTTTGTCTGGTTTATCACGTACCGTCAATTGATTGGTTTGAACGCGATCAAATGGCGGTTGAGTTTTCACTTGTGTTCCAACTGGCTTGCGGAGAAGACTATGGGTCTGGTTGGTTGGTGTTCACTCTTGCATTTCGTATTATTTATCATTACGTAAAACGGAGTTTGTGTGGGATTGCTTGTGTTCAGTTTTGCATTACAACTTAAGATTGTGCAAGCATAGGATCGAAAAGCATGCGTGTCTGAGGCGACCTGTAGTTAAAAGGCGCTCATGTTTTTCAAATATGATATAAAAAGTAATTTACTGGCTCAAAATTATTGTTTTAATTTACTGCAAAGAGTATATTCACGACTATTGCAAAAAAGCAATGCAAATTTCATAAAAATATTTTGAAACATAAAAATTTATCAGACAAATAAATATTATTTCTTTCTTCAATATGACTCATTTATTCATTTGCACTGAATTACTTAAAATAATATTTATTTAAATATTTTCTATGTAGAAAAGGTCTCTAGTAAAAATTGCTATTAAAAAAAGTGTAACGGTTCTAAGAGTCTTCCAGCAAGATCAAGACAAAGACTACAATAATTAGACTGCAATACCAAGACCAAGTGAGTCTTGACCTTGGTCTTGCATTTCCTCATCTCTAGGCTTTCCAAAGGGATTTTGAATACCTAATCTTGGTTATAAAATTATATTTAGATATACAACGCTCTTTAATGATATACTGCTATTTTAATAAATTAATTATATGCAGAAATATTTTAAGAAGTGATTTGGGCCAAACACTATATTGTTTATAATTTTTGAATGACAGTAATGAAACAGTTTCAATTTGTTTTAGGAAAAAGATTTGACAATGACGACAAACGTCTACATAAACTACTAGATATGATTCGCGAATGTTTCAAAATAGTAGACATATCAGGAGGAATAATAAATCAGATTCCATTCTTGAGGTATATTGCACCATCAGCTAGTGGGTACAATCAGATAATGAGTATGCTAACAAACATGTGGACCTTTCTAGGGGTAATTGATATACTTAACATATTTTTAACAACAATAAAAATTCAAATTTGGATATACAGGGTGGCCCATTAGTGCGAGGCCCATTAGTCGTCGTTGTCGAAGATATGAAAAAAGTTTTATACAGATATTGCATGGTTTATAAAGGGGCATATCCTAAAAATATTTTATTGGATAAAGGGTGTCACATAAAAAAGTTATTATAAAGTTTTAAGTTTCTTTAAATTGCACCCCTCATTTTTCTGTAGATATTTATTTGAAGCAATCTGCGGTGCTGCCATTCTAATACTTATTTACTAAAACTTTGGTCATTATAAAAACATTATATCCGAAAAGTGGTAGAAAACTGTGGAGTGAATATAACTTTATTAACACTTACTTGGCTACATTTTCCCAAACAACAAGGATAACAGAATAAATCCGTATAGAAAAATTTACATTTTCATCTACAGGGTATTTTTTATGGCGTCACCAAAATTGGAATATTTAAAATGCTGTATCTTATTTTTTTTAAATGCAACACCCTGTATATTAGTTTTCATTCAGATGCAGAATTAAAAAGTGAACATTTTTTTGTATTTAAATAGTTCTAGAGTTTCAAAAATAATTGAAAACTGTATTTTAGGATATATCAATATGTAACTTTTCTTGTAATCTCAGGTGTGAAATTAAATATCTATATTATTTTGAGCATCTACAAGAACTCAAATCAATTTCAACAAATTTTATTATCAGCTAATGTGATTGACAAACGATGTATGGTGTAATGCATATATTTCCAAAGTTTGTAACTCTTATTTTAGGAAACGATAGATGACCACAAACTTTCTATGCAATATACTCCCAGAGATCTGATTGATTCATTTTTACAACACACGGAAAAGAAAACAGACGAATCATTTACAGGTAATTTTGATTTTAATCCAAATTTAAATTTCTATATTACATAAATTATATAAATCTGACACAACACATCAAAACACTTAATTTTTAAACTGAGAAGCAGGACCGTATTAGTAGATGGTCATTTTCGTATTTTTAGCAGTTGCTCATTAAGTGTACAGGGTGGTCCGAACTGCATTCCGGAAACATCGGCAGCATATTGTGCATATAAAAATAAGTAATAAAAATAAGTAAAAAAGTTCGTAACAATGTATGTCCTAAAATAGTTAGTTTCGGAGATACAGGGTGTAGAAGTTTCATTTTTATTTCGATTTTTTTCCAAATAATTTGTGAAGTAACGTAAATATTTGGATGAAAATTGGTGTCTGGAGTTTTTTTTACACGAGAAATTTGATTTTGATGTCAATATAACTCCTACTTGTAGGGGGCGCCACCTACATATATATTTACTGGTTTGAAGAGTAATAACTTTTCATCCGTACCTGTATAAAATTACTGAGTAAAAAAATATACATTTAAGACGTATTTTACGTAAAAAAGGTCTTTTGGTAAAAATCGCTACGACTAATGGTTCTCGAGATATTTGGAATTGAAATTATCAACACCTGTCATCATTGGCATAAATTAAACATGTTGACTAATATATAGTTATTAGACTAAAATCATAAATTTGAAATGTTTTTGTGCTAAAAATTCAACAGAAACTGTATTATTATCATTTTTTCGCAGATAAATTTATAATTAATTTAAAAAAATAAAAATTATGTTTATTTTTTGTCAATAATGACATGTATTGACTATTTCCATTCTAAATATCTTGAGAACGGTTGCTCGTAATAATTTTTACCAAGAGACATTTTTTACGTATAAAATCGCGGAAATGTATATTTTTTCACACAGTAGTTTTATACAGGTACGGCCGAAAAGTTATTACTCTTCAAAACAGTTAAAACACATGTAGGTGGCGCCCCCTACAAATAGGAGACATATTGACATCAAAATCAAATTTTTCATGTCAAAAAACTCCCAGACAGCAATTTTCATCCAAATATTGACAGTACTTCAGAAATTATTTGGAAAAAATTGAAATAAAAATGAAACTTCTGCACCCTGCATCTCTAAAACTAAGCAATTTAGGACATATATTTATACGAACTTTTTTACTTATTTTTATCTGCAAAATATGCTGCCGAAGTTTCTGGAATACAGTTCGGACCACCCTGTATATTCCTATAATAATATATTACTATAAAGAAGTTTTATGCCTAAGTCAAGTCATTTTTCTTTGGTATTTTTGTTGTTACACAAAACCAAAGGAAATTTCAGAATTGAAACAACACGGAATTGAAAAGAGATGTAGAGACATAGAAAATAGCAAGCTTTTAAGCATCTAATAATGCTAACATTGTGTTTTGGTTGATTGACGCGTTTGGTTGACTTGTGTAATATTTTGCTGTAACACCAATGATTTCAACCTAAATGACATTCTTCTTTGTTTAGATCAACAACTGCTTTCGATGTGCCTTGATTTATTTATGGCAGGCGCAGAGACAACAAGTAACAGTTTAAGTAAGTCCCACAATTAAGCTCACAATAAACCTAGAAAAAAACATTTTTGACAGGCCACATCAAAAGCACATGTGCAAAATATGCAGGCAACAGTAGCGCACATTGTCAAAAAACACATGATAAAATAGTAACACTATTTTAGTCTAAACATTTTTAAATGTATATAAATATGCTCTTTTTCAAAAATATTTCGATAACAAGGTATAGTTTAACTTTTAACTTATAAAAACGTTTATAAAGGATAATATAAAGCTATATCTACCTTGTACGGGTCTTTTGCTATTATTTCTGGACTTCTTATTATACTGTTCTCTATTATAGAAAAAATGTTTGATAATATAGATTATTTTTAGGTTTTGCCTTTATGTATATGATACTTTATCCAGATGTCCAGAAGAAAGTACAACAAGAACTTGACAAAAAAATTGGGAGAGATAGATGGCCAACGGTGGAAGATAAAAATAAGTAATAATTAACTTAAAAAGATACAAAATATATTATTATCCTATTTTCCAGTTTAAAGTATACTCAAGCAGTACTTATGGAAATCCAAAGAAGATGCAACCTGGCGCCCATGGGAGTAACTCACAGAACAACGAAAACGACCTCTTTATATGGTTACACCATACCAGAGAACGCTGTTATTCTTTTGAATTTATACAGCATCCATATGAATTTAGATTATTGGAAAGATCCCATGAAGTTTAAACCAGAAAGATTTTTGGATGAATCTGGAAACATAACTGTCGATGAAAATTATTATTTGCCGTTTGGACTAGGTGAAGCAAATTTAAATCAACTTTAATATTTCACTATAGATAGGCGTTCTCACATACCCCTTAAGCGATTTTATAGGCTTGGTGCATTTCAGTTCATTTTAAAAATTCCGACCGCAGCGCTCAAACGACAGAAATTAGAAGCACCTGGTATAAAAGTATTTCACGCAGTCCCATTTATGTCGATCGAACGTGTTTATTTTTTGTCAATAATGACATGTATTGACTATTTTCCTATTCTAAATATCTTGAGAACGGTTGCTCATAGCAATTTTTACCAAGAGACATTTTTTACGAAAAAAATCACGGAAATGTCTATTTTTTTTACACAATAGTTTTATACGAGTACGGACACGAAAAGTTATCTCTTCAAAACAGTTAAAACACAAAATGTAGGTGGCGCCCCCTACAAATAGAAGGGATATTGACATCAAAATCAAATTTTTCATGTCAAAAACTCCCAGAGAGCAATTTTCATCCAAATATTGACGGCACTTCAGAAATTATTTGGAAAAAATCGAAATAAAAATGAAACTTCTACACCTGAAACTTCTATCTTCTGTATCTCCGAAACTAAGCCATTTTAGGACATACATTTATACGAACTTTTTTACTTATTTTTGTGTGCAAAAAATGCTGCCGAAGTTTCTGGAATACAGTTCGGACCACCCTATATATTCCTATAATAATATATTACTATAAGCGTTAAGTATAACAAACTATAAGGAAGTTTTATGCCTAAGTCAAGTCATTTTTGTTTGGTATTTTTGTTGTTGCACAACACCAAAGGAAATTTTAAATTTGTTTTTTTAAAAAGTAACTGTGAAAGTTATAAAAATGTGCCTTAGAAAACTATAAAAAATATTTCTATAACAGATATAACAAATAATAAATCGAAAGATAATCGTAAATGTTATAAAACTGTATAAAAATATCTATTCATCAATTTAAATGTTGCGACCGATTTTTGAAGTAATTTCTTACGAATCCATTAGACCGCTAAACGCAGTGATTTATTTTAAAATTTATGTATAAGTGACAAAACGTCGCTGTTCGAATACATATCAATCATTCGCAGTGTAGTGCAGAACTAGCTTCTTCTGATATAGAGACTATATCTTCATTCCCGAGAAATTATAATCGTTGTCAGAAAATATGTTGTTTTATATATATTTTTTGAAACGTTTGTATGTTTCCAAATTCCTACCGACCGCAACATTTTGATCAGCAGTAAGTTCTTTACACTTTGACATTAGAAAATACTAATTTCATTCTGGAATTGAGACTATGTCTAAACAATAGTGTATTGTCTTATTAGGAGTCAAAATTATAGTTTTTTTGACGATGCTGTAAAGCTATTCCGACGTTACAGGGAGGCACAAAATGTACATTTTTACTCCGAATAGAACATATACGGCTATATGCCGTATATGTTCTATCCGGAGTAAAAAAGGCAATAAGCTGGACTGCAGCAACTACCGTGGTATATCAGTGACGAGCACAATGAGCAGGTTATATGGTAGAATTTTACGTGATCTCAGAAGAAGATTATAGAGAAAAGGAGGAAGAAGAACAGAATGGTTTTAGAGCAGGAAGGTCGTGTACAGATAACGTGTTCTGTTTAAAACAAGTTATAGAAAAAGATCGGCAAGAAACTTGGACACACATATAACATTTGTTGGCTTGCGGAAAGCGTACGACACTGTCCCAATATCAAGACTATGGAGGGTACTAGAACAATCTACGATCAACCATACTAGAACAATTCACGATCAACCATACTTATATAACAGCTCTTAAGGAACTACATAAGGACGCAAAATCAAAAATAAAGGTAGGAAAGGAGCTTACAGAAACATTTATAACCGACAAAGGCTTGCGTCAAGGTTGTTACATCTCCCCTACTCTCTTTAAAATATACGTTGCAGTCGCTTTAAAAAATTAGAAAAGAAAGATCCGTGGTATGGGCATAGAGATTGATAATGAATGTTTGTTCACACTCTAATTCGCAGACGATCAAATAATAGTTGCCAATCAAGAACAGTTAACCTAATATGGAATCTTATGGAGCAAATCAATAATAAAGCGAAGAAAATTCAATATATATGAAACCATGATAAAGAGCAACCTCCTGTATGGAGCAGAAACATGGAGAATAACTGAGAGATACAAGAAGAGGATAGAGGCCGTAGAAATGGATGTCATTCGAAGATTAATGGGAATTTCAAGACAACAACGAATAAGAAATAATACCATAAAACAACAAATGGGTATAGAAGGTACGATAACACAGGATATAGAGAAAAAGCAGCTGATCTGGTACGGATATGTAGAGCGAATGAAGGATACTAGATGGCTTGGGCTTTGATATTGGTTATTTTCTTGGGAAAATAATCAATTGGCAACCAAAGGGCAGAAGAAAACAGGGAAGACCGAAACTGGAATGACAAAAAAGCGTACACAAAGCGATGAGTGAAAGAACCAGCCCCTGGACAGCCCACCTGATGAAGGGTAGGCCCAGAAACCGGTTGTGGGAGTGGAGCTTGGTTCCCCCCTTTACGACAAGCAAAACAATTTTCTTTTTACTTTTTCTTTTTTTTTAATTTTTTCTCTACTTTCGATTTTTCGAAATTAGAAAAAATACACAGCTAAAGGCAAGAAAATATTATTTATTAATATACACTAAAGCTGTAAGAATTTTGTTCATTTCATATATCAAAACATTACAAATATTTTTTTTAATCAATTTCAAACATTGCTAATAATATAAACAGTAATCGAGCAACAATTTGTACACTTGTTGAATTTGACACTTAATATCAGTTTAATAATATATTTTTGTACTTTTGTGCTTAGGCGTAACAGTGCTTTACTTTTATGCATAGGCGTTGAAATTACAAAAATTGATATTCTTGAGACGTTTGAAATAAAATTCCTTTTGATCTGAAGCGAGCGACTTTTTATGCGGAATATATTGGTGACCGATGTGGAAAAATGGGACGCACCGTAGAATTGTTAATGTTATCGGTATCGGGCAGAGTTATAAAGATTTAGCCATTTAGGAATAGAACTTTAATTGGAAATAAGTTCTTATCATTTGGAAATCCGATTTAAATATTGTTTTGAACTAAAATAAAATAAAAATCTGATTTAAGTAAAAAAAAATCTGATTTTTTTTATTTTTTTAAAAAAATCATGATTTTTTCCAACCCTGGTTTCGGGAGAGTCGAATATCCGGGAAGGTTGAGTTATTGAATGTTATTGCACCCACCAACCACAGTGGTTCCTCTTAATTAGCTGCGCGGTCATAACTGTTAGATATCTAGATATAGCTTGACTGTTTTTACTTGACTAGCTTTCTTAATAGAAATTGATAACAAATGCTAAATAAATGTATATAAAAAACTTAATGTAATATGTATTAAAAAAATTGGGCCCAGTTCGTGTGATTTGCATTTTAAGTTCTAACTATTCGGAAAGGTATACAGATTATGTTTGCACATATGTACATGTTTTTTCATATTGAAGTGGTCAAATTTATTTTAAATGTTGAAAAAATAAAAGAGACAGTTGTTTCATTTTATAAATACAATTTTATTGTCAATTGATATACAGTGTGTCCACGAAATAAGTTGACACGAAGAGGAAAAAATAAGTTACTTTTATTTTAAGACAAAAAGTTAATCTTTAACCACCCAGTATAAGATCCGGCGGCAATTCGCGGCAGCCAGTGGCAATTAATTTATATGCAATATACTTTAAGCAACAAGTATTATCATGTCGTTTAAGAAGATTTGAAAGGGAAAGTAGTTAAAAGTCTTAAAGAGTGACAAGCAAAAATGTAAAAATACTATTTTTGTTGCCTTCAAATAAATTGCCATAAACTAATATTACTTAGGTTTAATTAAGTGCAAAAAAGAAAAAACAGTTTTTTTACCTTCTTTTCGAACGTCCATTGCAGAAAAGGCAACAGCTTTTATCAAATTTAATAAAATAAGTAATTAATTGGCGTTATTTGAAAACTGTTTGTCATTTACACATGTCATTACATATACATTTCTTATAAAAAAAAGCGCTACACTAGGCTTACTTGATTTTGTTATTTATTATGTATCGTTTACAGGGGAATATAAGAAAAGTATTAGCAACAGTTTCATGCAAACATTTTGAAATTAATATTTCTAAGTAATGACCTATTTTTATACTTTTTGAGTTAAAGCAACAATTTTCATAAAATATTATTTTCTTTATAGGTAAGCGTCGATGCTTAGGGAGAAGGATTAGCCAAAACCCAGATATTTCTGTTTTTTACATGTTTGCTTCACAATTTTACGTTCGAAGCTGTTGACGGATTTTACCCCTGCGAGGAACCCTACGACGGATTTGCTTTGGCCCCAAAACCATTCAAGGCTAAATTGATACCAAGATATACTTAGATGTAATTTCAATGTATGGATAAAATAAAATAAAATAAATAGAAAAAATACGAAAAATGTTAAGTGTCTTCCTCAAAACTGAATATCTCCAAAACAAAAACAAAAATAAAGCTATTGAGATGAATCAAAAAACAAACTATCAAAAAAGATATACCTAGATGATGAAATTATTTTTAAATTCCTTTCTTTGTTAACGTACACAGGGTGTTTCAAACTTTCACCAAAAGATCAACATTTTGTTTTCCCTCGTATAACTGACAGATGGCAACTTTCATTTTTAATTTAGAAAGAGTCATTAAAAAGAAATAATTCAAATAATTTAGCTACTTAAAAAATCATCAAAATCGGTCCACTAGAACATAATATATAAAACTTTAAAATACATGAAAATTTTAAGACGGTCGTTTTTAATGTCGGTGAGTTTATGTCTTTTAAAAAAAAACATATTAAAGTTTGTCCAAATAATGTTTCAGATTTTGAAATATATGTTTTTTAATTCTGTAATTTATACATACATAAAATGCTAATGTTTATCTGTGTCGTCTCTACTGAAGTAACGACTTGCTCTAGAAAGTTGCTTTTTTTACCAAAATATAGCTAATTGGTTCTTCTAAGAACTGTTGTCGCCGGATTTTTTGTTTTTCATTTAATTAAAAAAAATAAAAAGTAGTTTTTTTCCTTATGTCGTGGCGGATGCGCCAGGCTTCAACTAGTTATTGTATATATAACTACTAAATTTTATTAAACGGGTATTAAAATATTTTTTGTTAAAAAGGGGTAAACTATAGTTAAACCCTTGTTTATATATATTAAAATCAAGGGTTAAACCAGATGTTAAACTATAAGAAACCTTGAATTTATCTTTATTCGCCAGTTTGTCAAGAAAGAACATCAAAAATAAAATAAGTAAATATTTAAATAAAACTAGTAAATAATAATATCTACACCACATACAACAAAGCATAAACTCATAAATTTAATAACAAAGTATGTTATAAAGTGATATGCATATTAATATTAAAGAAAAAGTAAATAATCTATCATAGCTTCGAATTTTGTTGTCGGCCAATTCTAATAAAATAAAATAGTTTGGGTACCAAGGCCGACTAAGCCTTAAATGAGTACTTGGGATTCACAATCCTGATGTAATAATAAACAGTTGAAGAGTAATGCTAGCCACATTACCTTTCTTGTATACCGAACGGCTCTAGCAAGGCAAGTTATACCTTGCTACACCCAAGGCGTTAAAGGCTATACAGAAACTATTATTATATATCTATCAACATGATTAATGAGTATCTAGATCTAGTGTATACGGAAGACATAAAATTTCATATAAATAACGTATCTATATATGGCATATACCGCACGATCGAAAAAAAAACGGCTTCAAATTCCTTTAGAAATAACGACCGATGAAGATTAAATTTAATCGATCATCATTTCTAAGTTAACTTCCCAGCGGTTATCCCTATCTTTCCATTTGTCTATGCAAAAATACCTAAATTCTATTAAAAAAGATAAGACAATCAATGTGTTTTAAAAATAACGTAGTAGCAAAATATAGTACGGGACTAAGGTAAGGGTAATGAAAATATTTTAGATCATGCAACTTATAGATCTATTGTGTCCTCCTTTCTTGAGTTATAACTCATCATACAGCCTCAGGGCTTTGACAATAGTCAGTATCTAAGACAGTTTTGCAGAAGGTAGTTCTTCATCTCCAAGTCTCAAGGTAGTTCTTCTTCTCTCCGTCGTCTCGGCTCATTTTCCCCACAGAATCTGCGTTTGCTTTGTTTGTTAGCTTCACAATCTACTGAGGGGTTCAATGAGGAGACAGTGTTCTGTTAAAAATCCTGAATATTGTTCTTACCTAAATCAAGGAAAATCTATGATTTTTCTCGGTCGTAATTAATAAAGTCCTGAGTAACTTCTTCGAGGCCCTTAGACCGGTGAAGGATTCTAATTCCAACGTTACAGATGGAGTCTTTCAGGCACCCAGATTAGGACTTTATTTTCTTTGCCTAATTTGTTCAGCTTCTCTACGCATTCTTTGACCAATTTCGAATTGATAGTTGCTGAGTTGATCGCTTTTAATGCTCCTCGACCATCGGATAAGATGGCTATTTCTTGTTTCCGATAGTTCGTATCTAAGAGAAGTTCTCTCCCTGTTCCTGCTTTGGTTGTGGAAGCATCAGTATACCACGTTATGATATGATCTTCTACCTGCTGACAAACGTTTTTCTTCCAATTCTTTTTATTGCTCAATTCTACAGTAGGGTCGTGTTTCTCAAAGTTGTAGCTTCTTAGTATGTCATCGACAGGGACTTGGAGGAGCTTTTTAAGGGTGTTCCACGTTACTCAGCTTGCAATTCTCCCAATTCTCCCAGTACTACCAATGAATTGACGGAAATTTGTAATTGTCATCGGTAATGATTAGAATGGTCTAATCATTACTGATGATGCAGTGGTGTTAGGGCAGGTTCTCATGGCTCCTGTGATGCATATGCATGTCAGTCTTTGCTTTTTGCACAGATTTTGCTTTGCTGCACGTTGCCCTAGTTAAGCAACTGTTCCATAAGTAACCACGGGTCTTACTATCATGATATATATCTAGCGCAGATCTATCTATTTCCCGCTAGTCTTCTGCATATCATGAGAGATTTCGTGGCTTTGTTGGTAACGCTTTTTAAAAAGTATAATGTTCTTTAAAAATGATCGTAAGGCGAGCGGCTGTCTAATGAAAAAGCTGTGCTATTTCTATGTTTAGGGGAAGAGGCATAATAGGTGATACGCGCGGACCCTCTGGAACACGTGAAGTTGACCAGCTAAGACTAAATAGGTTGTGGTAACATTACTAATTATATTAAAATAGTTGTTCTTACAATATGTAATGATAACGTGTATGTTTGGAAAGGAAGTTTGTTACTAAAAAAGCTGGGCAGATATTAGAATTAAATAAAAAAGACTAAGTTAATGGTACCAGAGACTGATATTTTACAAAAATTAAATATTTTATTTGTTTTAGTGGCAACATAATTTTCTAATATTGAATTGTGTTTCCGTATTAAATTAACATCTACAGCAATAATTACATCACTAAAACTTGGCTTATATCCATCAAAATTGATACTAAAAATAAAAATCTATTACTGCTTATATTTCAAAGCTTGAAATGGTTTTTTAATTCATAACTTTTCTTCTGAAGGATTACGTATGTTTTGCAACTCCAACTTGTGATAAGAAAAAAAGTTTTGCTTACTGTTTCAATAGGGCAGCTGTCACCCAAAGAATAATATTTTATTTTTTCGTACAATCCGTTCGCACTACATTTAGATCCGTACTATTTCATTCATGTAACTGAGCACGTGTGATAATCGTAGGCAGATTTAAAAGCCACCAGTAAAAGACCAATCGGCTTGTTAGACACTCGGGCAGGAATCGTTGTCGAATATGCTTACTACAGTTCTGATCACGGTTTTAATATCTTTATTGGGTGTTTGGTGTTTTACAAGTGAATGTAGAAAACCAATTTGCTTCCCGCCAGGTTAGTTTCTGTAATTTAATTAATTATTTAATATATAATTCATTTCCGTTTAAAATCTTCAATGCTATGACCGGAAAATAATAAATCTTGATTAGTTTATATTTTTTTAATTATGTAATATAGTGTGCTATTAATATATACATTAATTAATACATCTATTATTTATGTAATGTATTTAATGGTTTTTATAAATACTCTTTTAAATAATGTTTTCAAATAAATTTAATTTTTAATTTTTTTAAATTATTTAATATTAAAAGTAGCGTTATTAGAACTTATTATTTATAGGTAATCGCTTTTGATCATAATTGTTTGGGCTATGACCTTGGATGTACTTATACCTAATAACAGCTTAATAAACTATATTGAACTAAATTGTGCAATTGTCGAAAAACTAATTAAGCTTCTTCATCTAAGAATTTTCTTATTCAGAAAAAATAATGTCCATAAATAAATTATACTTATCATCCAAAAATTATACTCTATTTTATTTTCATGGTTATACAGGATGGTGACAATTTCGATGTTCAGCATTGGCAGATCATTAACGTTTGACCAACGCCTGTGAAGAAAACCCCGGTATTTTGATTTGTTTTCGATTTATTGAGCGATTTATGTAAAAAAATAATGCATTTATTTGTTAATTTTTATTTCACTATCGGGCGGTTCAGGGCAAAACTCCTACATTCAAAGTTTTTACTACCTCCAATAGATTACAGCAGGGAGTTAGAAACTTTAATGTTAACAGCAAAATAAAACATTAATTCACCACAATACATCAAGACACTTTACTTTTGCAATGAACGCGCGGTTCGCTAGCCATGTTATTAGCATCATCAGCAGATGATGAAAACTTAAGTTTTAATCATTAATTAATTATTATTAAGTTTTAATAATTTAATCATCTGCTGATGATGCTAACACTGTTAGCGAAACACGCGTCCGGTTTAAAAGTAAAGTGTTTTGGTGTATTGTGGTGAATTCGTATTTTAATTTGATACCTCCAATAGGCAAGCCTGCACGTATGTATCTAAACAAAGACCTGCTCTAAGTATCTCGAAAACTCTGTACATTGTATATTGATGTAATGATTTCCAGGTATGGTAGTGATAATGAATAACATGATTTCTATTATAATTTTTCTATTAAATTTTATATTTCCAGAAAACTGCCCATGAAAATAAAATATATCTTATTTTGATCATAATTTTAAATCGATTTGGTTTCTCAAAGTAAATTAAATTCAATAATTATGCATATTACAAATACACAATAGTTTTATATTCCCTATACTGGTTTTTCCATTTATATACTGAATGATTCTTTGATATTGTAAAAAATCATAAAAAGCCACATACATTTGCCAATATATTAAATATAACAAAAGCGCATAATCTGAAAAAAAACTTCCTATGATAATACCATGATAATACTATTTAACAGCAAATAGCAAATTCGATAAGAAAATCGCAAGACCCAGTATCACATAGTGTGTATTGAATCAACAGATAACCGATGATACCTACACGACTAATTTGACTGATATTTATTCATAGTGATAACATTATTTGAATTATTTGAACCAATATATGAAGGATCGAGTGACATGGATGTTACAGTGGAATAGAATAATTTCACTTTAAGCCCCGTTCTCAGAACTTCATCGTGTCGTTGGCTACATTGGTTGACATTTCAAAGAACCAATGAAAGTTGTTTAAATTTAAAATTGACAGCTGCTTGAATTTTCTAAAATATCTCATTGGTTTAGTTTCTTTTGAAGTGTCGCTGGCGAGACGACGAAGTTCTGAGAACTGGGCTTTAAGCTTTTCTTTGTCTATTAATAATGTTCTTGGCGTGACCTAATACAAAAATTTTCGACAGTTATGACAACAAATATATCACCTTATAGAAAATCGCATTTCTTTTTGGTGGTGTATCAACTAAAAGGAACAAAAATCAAAATGGTCCTTATGTCTTTTTCCCAAGTTTTTGTAGTGTTAGCGTAAGTGGTAATCAGGGGTGGATGGAGAAGTGGAAACCGGCCCGGAATAACAGGCAACCGGCCAGAATCCACAAAAATAAAATGATCACGAAGAAACATATTTTATTTATTAATATACAGGGTGTCCCAGAAATAAGTGCAAGTATTTTAACTGGTGGTATATTTCGGCCTCAGAAACACGCCTGTGGTTTTTTTTGCGAAAATTTGGAATTTTTTGAAAAAAATTATGGATATTTTTTTATTTTCAAGTTAAAAAAAATAATTTCTTGATAATATGGAAACATAGGTAGTAATATACATATAACAGTAGTAATTTACATGGAAAAAAATCCAGAAAACATCCAGAGGTTCTCTAAATTTAAGCAAAAAATCATTTTTTGCTTTTCAAAGTAAAATAACTCGGGTTATTTTGGACTTACTTGAAAAACGGTAAAGAGAAAAAATGTTTCTTTTGACCAAATCTACCCCCCTTAAAATACTTGCGCTTATTTCTGGAACACCCTACATAAGTAAGGGTGATTTTCGCTCGGGCGAAAAAATCTCTAGTCCCTCCAATTTTTTAAAAATATTGAAATTGTCTTTATCAAAATTTTCAATCTTTCGACATCTGAATTTTTACTACAAAATAGCTCAGTTTCACGGCAGTTCTACTGTTTTATTTCCATTATCGATAACGGTAATTTGATCTTGAATATGCTACGATTTTCAATCACGATTTTGAGAAACTTTACAACTTCCTGATTCATTCAGTTCAGCTGGCCCAGTCCTCTGTGAAATACATTATTTTTAGCTTTTCAGGTATATACTTTCTTACACATTGTAGAAAGAAATTCTCCCTTTTCTGGTACAGCAGCAACCTCGTCGTTTATACGTGTTTTAATCTTTGGTATAATTCTTATCACGTAACTTTTACTCGTTTCTACATTTGGCATCTTGTATGATAATGCCATGACTCAAACGAAAAAACCTAGGCAATACCTAGGCAGTGGATATAAATGTGTTCTGAAGTAGATGCTACGTTACGGTCCGTAATAAGAATATTTGGATTTTGGAGACATATTAATATTCTATTATCTAATCTAGTTTAAACCTTATTTAACTCTTCTCTGTTGTTTCACTAATTTTTAGTAAAATTATTCTAGCAACATTTAAAACAACTTAGATTTAACTTTTAGTTCTCAGACTTGGCTTTTAGTCCGCCCCCAATTCAAACCAAGCATAGAGATCGCCATCTTCATGTTTCCTCTGTCAACCGCAGAGTTCGCGTCAAATTCGCCTACCTTTCAGAGGAGCTCGAAAAGTATTGCACCGAGGCCTAGAGTTGTCAAGCTACGCTACCATATTTATAGTATACATTTAGATCGAGACTATTTAGATGATATTCACTCTTTTTTCTACTGTACGCCTGCCGGAGTCTTTATTAGTTATTAATAAAAGAATAGTGCTAAAACTATACAGGATGAGTCTTAAATAAGGGCAAATATTTTCAGGGGTGGTATATTTCGACCCCAGGAACACGTCTATGAAGTTTTTGCACAAAAAGATGTTGAAAATCGTGCTTTTTCTTTTGAATTTTCCTCTATATTTTAGAAAAAAAAATAGAATTCCCTGTTGACAAAAAGAGATGCAAATACAGAAAAATTTCGGTAACAAATTTTTTTAAAAATTTCAAACTTTAATAACTCGGTTATTTTGGGGGACTTATTTGAAACTCGGTAAAGATAATATATTTTTTTATTCATATCTACCAGCCCTGAAAATATTTGCACAAAGCAGCACAAATAAAGTGCACTTATAGACTCACCTTGTATAATAAAACATTTCAAACGCAATAACAAACAGATGTTTATTAAAATTTTAAGTGTCTCAGAGAAAGACAGAACAATAGTTATTTTACAAATTGGTGTTTATGTTTAAAAGCAACTGACGATTATATATTGATTTAATTGATTAGTTAGTTAGGCAGTCACTAAGAATCTTAAGTAACTTTAGTTAGAAGATTACCAATTAAATTTTTGCTAAATCAATCTTTTTTGAGCTCTGATGGGGACCGGCCCACCGGCCCATCTTCCCACCGGCCCACCGGGAATTTTCCCGTTTTCCCATATGGCCCATCCACCCCTGGAGGTAATAATAATACCTTTGACCATTTTCTTGAGTTTTAAATCATCATACAGTCCCGGGGCTTGATAAAAGCCAGTATCTGAGACGGTTTGGGGGTAGTTCTCCATCTCCGATATCAGTCGTACCAAAGGTTATGGCACGAATTGTTGTCTCGGCGCACTCAGTGATGAGGTGTTCTAGTGTTTCCGCATTTTTTCCACAGAATCTGCAATCGCCGTTATTTCTTAGTTTCAATTTATTGAGGTGTTCATTGAGGAGACAGTGTACTGTTAAAAAACCCGTTATAATCCGAAGATTTTTCTTGCTCAAATCAAAGAACATTTTTTTTGAATAGATTTTTTTTTGGTCTAAGTCCTGGGAAACTTCTTTGAGTTTTAGACCAGAGAGATAGACTCTTCCAGGTTCTTGAGTTCCGCTTTGAGCTGGTTTCTACTTGTGAAGCAGAACGGTTCTGATCCAGTTAGTGGAGTGTTCGCTTCTTTTCTAGCTAGATCGTTAGCTTTATATTTATCTTCTATCCCTGGGTGGGCCAGCAGCCAGAGTAGGAGGACTTTATTATGATTGCCTAATTTATTCAGCTTCTCTGGAATTTATGGCTATTTCTGGCTTTCGATAGTTCCTTTCTAAGACATATTGTACGCACCTTTGATAACGTAGATTTCTATCTGTTGGTTGCTGGGGTAGGTGCCCACTGGTTCGGAGTATTTAGTTTTCGGCCCAAATACTACTATCACCGTTCCTGCTTTCACCGTTGACGTAAATGCTAGATACACTTTTATGTATTCAAATATTTTTTACGGATTTGATTAATTTTATGTAGATAGTTAAAGCATCCCAGATTTAGATGTTCAATATTTTTTTAACTTCTTCGTGCCGCCATACTGCTTTTCACAAGAAAACGCCCCAATTTCGGATACACGAAATCTAGGCTCTATTTCATCATGTTATTTAGTCAATTACTATTTATTCAAGTTCGTCCTTGATTACGCTGGTTTTCATATTTTACCTGTTATTTGTATCTGTTGTTGCATCACTTTTCATATAGCAACGAAGCTGCGAATCTGAACAATACGCACTTACACACTGGTCTAAAATAAATCCACACTGGATACACACAGCACGACCATGGGTCGGTAAATGTTTGGGAAAAAATCTAGGAACGCAAAATATTGAACTTTTATTTTTTAAACGACTGAATGGAATCAACATCTAACATCAGTTAATAATTTATAAGAGAGGTATTGTCAATTTTTTAAATACCATCATGCTGAATTGGCATTTGTTGTAAGTTGCTGGAGTTTTGCGGCTTATTTCACTTTGAATTTGTGGGGCTTCTTGGATACCACTTCCTTTAGTAGATAGATAGGCCAACTAGGTCATGCACTAGCTGGTCATGAATTGGTCATGAGGTCAAATCAAGAACGAACATGGGTAAATCACAACTACATAAACTAAATATACATAAATGAACTAAACTATGACTATACCGTTTTAGTATTTTACCTTATGTATTTACCTCTTTGTTTACCAGCTTTTTTTCTTATAATTATATTTTTTAATTATACTGTTATCGAACTAGGCTTAATATTAATTTTTCTCTTAATATCTTCCGTTAGAGAAAAGAGAGAAAGTTGCGATCATCAGCAAGCAAAGAATTGTTTTCAAAAAGAAAATCGATAGAAATATGTGTTTTTTAATGAAATTAATTATTAAATAATCAGTCAAAAAAAATGCAAATTCCTATAAAAACAACATAAAATATAACTAATATATTGAGCAACACTATTGAGTTTGATTTCGACCGCTAGAAAGTATCACTGAACTTTCGCATGTAACAAAAAATAAATTTTCAATCAGTAAAAAAAATTTCGGTGCCGAAAAAACCGGGAAATTTTATTTCTAGTCCCGGTTCTTTCATGGCTCAAAAAACCGGAAATTCATGATACTTTCGAGACCGGGATTTCCCGGTCCTGAAGCCTAATCAACACAAATGAACACAAGTGAAGAAAAAACGAAAAAAAATATAGGAAACGCACTTAAAATTTACACCAAACAACATAAACCAACTTATAACTAAATTTGAAAAGGATTACATTTTCAATTAAAAATGTAAATGCCTATAAAACATAACATAAAATATAACTAATATATTGAGCAACATTATATTTAATAATAAAATAACATATCTAAACTTCAATAATTGTTAATAAACATTATAGGAACTTCAAAAGAACTTTAGAAGTAGGAACAATAAGAGATAACATCTAGTTATTTAGAAGAGTTTGATTTCGACCGCTAGAAAGTATCAATGAACTTTCGCATAACATAACAAAAAATAATTTTTTAATTACATTTTATTAACGAGTAAAAAAAATCGATACCGAAAGAACAGGGAATTTTTATTTCGAGCCCCCGTTCTTTGACGTCTCAAAAGAACCGGGAATTCCCTAGTGTGCATATTGTGGTTTTCGGCACTGGTTTTCGGCGCTGATAAGCCAGCTTTCTTTGTGTGAGTAGGTACCCTTAGTTGACAATCCGGTACAGTACGATAAAAAAATATAATTTAGCGGCCTTTTACTAGACAAAAGAAATTCTAATGTAAACTCAAAGAACTTTTATCAATTATGGCTCATTAAATAATTATTCAATAATAGACTAATAACTAACTAATATTTTTCAGGTCCTGTCTGGTTGCCATTTTTTGGAAGTTCTTTACAACTCAAATCCCTCTCTAGAAAATTTGGCGGGCAGCACCTTGCTTTAATCCAACTACTAAAAAAGTACTCTTCAGATATACTCGGACTGAAATTGGGCCGAGAATACGTTATAGCCGTGTGTTCATATAGTACAGTCAAGAAAATACTTACGTCAGAGGAATATGAAGGTCGACCTGACAATTTTTTCTTTAGAATGAGGTCTATGGGAACCAGAAAAGGTAGGTGCATTGATATACTTTAGTAAATTCTTTAGGTTTAAATTTATCAAAACTACAAATTTCGTTTTCTTCTACGTGTATTTGAAAAATATACAGGGTGTCCCAGAAATACGTGCAAGTATTTTAAGGGGTGGTAGATCTCGATAAAAGGAACATACTTTCTCTTTATCGTTTTTCAAATAAGTCCAAAATAACGGAGTTATTTTACTTAAATTTCCAAAAAAAATGATTTTTTGCTAAAATTTTGAGAATCACTTTTCTTTCTTGTAAAATTAAGCTACTATCTATGTTGCTATATTATCAAGAAATTATTTTTTTAAACAAAAACTAAAAAAATTACCAAAAAATTCAAAAAATGTCGAATTTTCAAAAAAAAAATTAGCGAAAAAAAACCTCATAGGCGTGTTTCTGGGGTTGAACTATACTACCAGTTAAAATACTTGCACTTATTTATGGGACACCTTGCATAGTCCCACTTGGTCTCACTTAAAATAAAAACTGATTTGCTCACTTCATGGAGTAAGCTATTGACTAGCATTGTACAATATGATTTGAAAAAAACGGCGTCAGATGTCTATGAAATGAAGATCGCTGTCTTTTATATGTAAAATTATATGTGGAATGTCATCAATGTTTATTTCCAAGCCAAATGGACGTCGTTTCTTTTTTCAATCATACGGTAATTTTAATAGTTCTGTATATTTATTTACTCTTGATTTATCTAGAAAATTCGTTAGGTTTAAATTTATTAAGCACAGATTTCGTACTCTTCTATGTGTTTTAGAAAAATTTAGTCTCACTTGGTCTTATTTCAACCCAACCCAAAAAATGATTTGCTCACTTGACAGAGCAGTGTTAATAGTTCAACAGACCGATAGCACAGAATATATAGCAAATTGCGTAGCTATATATTATATGCCTATAATGTTAATAGTTCTGTACATTTATATTGACATCTGCATAAAAAAGTTATCCATAACTACCTTTTCAAAAAGTTAACAGAATTTCCTTCACCATTTTGTCAAAAAATTTGCATTTATAAGATATATGTTTAATCAAACACTAATTCACCACAATACACTAAGACACTTTTAACACTAGACGCGCGTTTTGCTAACTATATTAGCATCATCGGCAGATGATTAAAACCCGAATTTTAATCGTCTTCTGATGATGCTAACATGGTGAGCGAAACGCACGTCCAATGTTAAAATTAACGTATTTTGGTGTATTGTGGTTAATTAATATTTGATTTTGTTGTTTTAACATGATAGGTTCCAACCCCTAACTGTAACAGATATTTGTAGGTACCGTAAAATGGGGTGAATAGAAACATAGTGGTGAAAAGAAACAAAATTTCTGAAAAAAATCAAATCACGATTAAAAATATTCAAAGTAAAAAGAGTTGACATATCTAATTTTTCTATCATTGGTAATACACAATAAAATGTAAAAACTATATTTTTATCTTTGGCAGCACTGTTTCTGTCAATCAGCTGATCAATAAATGTGAGATCGATTTATCACCTATTTTGTATGGCGCGAAAACTTTATAAATAAAATATTTATTTTTAAAGTAATACATAAGCTGGTACACGTAAGTTGTTATATTATATGTATTGTTAATTATTATTAAACCTACTTAAATATGTAATTATTTACTGTTTCTAATCACCTTGTTGGAAGTAGAATAGATAAAAACCTTAACATCAATGTGTGTGTTTCTATTCTCCCGAATAGCAGGTGAATAGAAACATAAATGTTATTTTTATTTAATATTTATACGCATATTTTTCAAAAATCAAATTATATGCATACGCAAAGAACAAACAAAGACCCATGTTTTAAAATATTCGGGAAAATAATACCACATTTTTATCAACCGGTATATTGCTAATTGCCTACGAAACTGTTTCTATTCACCCCATTTTACGGTACTAATTGTTTTTAAATTAATAAGGAGATAAATGACGTTTAAACACAGCATAAAGCTTTTTTACAATACCTAGATGCTAGATGCTCTTTTATGTACAAGATTAGTAATAATTCAATGGGAGTGACAAAACAACAACCTATAATCAATTATTCTGGTATTGATTATTTTAGACTTATCAAAATATAAACTGCTGTCCAAGTAAAATTGAAAAATTACTAAAAATAATTTTACATCTTTTTAGGTATCACAGGTACGGATGGAGAACTGTGGAAAGAACAAAGATCATTTTTAGTTAGCCATCTTCGAGCGTTAGGATTTGGAAAGAATATTGTTGAGGATATGGTAAAGCATGAAATTTGTGATGTAATATCAAAAATTGATCAGAATTTGAAAAATGTGGATATTGCAGTTGTTTTAGCCCCATCAGTATTAAATATTTTATGGCACCTAACTAGTGGTAAGTACTAGGGTTTCCGGAACAGGAGCTATTTTTCGGAACCTAAGGAAACTCTAAAGAAACGGGATTTCCCGGTTTTATCGGTACTTTCGGTACTAGCTAACTTTTGTTCAATGATAGTAGCAGTTTGTTAATCAGCAAGAGATGGTTTCAAAAGTAAGAACGATAAAAATTGAGTTTTTGAAGAGAAGAAAAAAAATATAGTAACTTAAAATTTAGATGAAATAACATAAACCAACTTAACTAAATTTGGAAGAAAGTCTTACATTTTCGAATTAAAAATTCAAATACCTATGAAAACATAACATTAAAATATAATTAATACATTGAACAACACATTATACTAAATAAAAAAAACATATTTAAACTTCAAAATTTCGTATAAACATTATAGGCACTTCAAAAGAGAAAAGAGGTACGCACAAGAAGAAATAGCCATCACACTTAGAAGAGATTGTTCCTCTCTGTAATAAGATCTCAGAAATAAAAGTGTACTCAGACTATTGTCATTCAAACGAGACCTAAGTAAACCAACCAAAGAAAATTTTCAAGTTTGACGATGGCGGAGTTGTTAAAAGATAAATAACGCACACTCTCATCTTTTCTTAAAAAGAGCCATTCCAATCAAAAGACAGTGATGACAAAAATTATTTTTAATTATTTATTTCCCAAAAGTACCGAAAAAACCGTGAATTAATTTCGAGTACCGGTTCTTTGATGGCTCAAAAGAACCGGGAATTCCCGGTACTCTCGAGACCGATTCGACACGATTCTAAACCTTAAGTACCACACGATCGAGTAAAAACGACGTCAAAGATGGCAGCTAAATGATGATAATTTTGGCGAGGTCAATCCCTAGATGTCATTACTTAGCTCGTGTCCTTCTTTATTTTTTAATGGCGCTTACAACCATTTGGCCTTAAGAAAGGTTGAAATATGGTTGTAATTTATTTTTATATTGAGTAAAATTGTTCCATCTTAATATTTATATAATTAATAGCGTGTACCCGCGACTTTGTTCGCGTCTAATTAATAATTTATAATAGTGATGATAAGGCAAAGCAAGAATTTCCATTAACATACAAAATGGATAAAATTTTATCACATTTATGTCAGCATGAGAAAAAACAATATGACGATATTATTATATAACTTGGTAATATTTGAGGGGTAGTTTTATCTCGTTGGAATTTGACTTTCGAAAAATCCGTTTGCTAAAAATAAGTTTTTTACGTCAAGCGGTTTAAGCAGAAGTGGTTAATCAATTACCCAACTTTTTGGAACACCCTGTATGATTTTTTAAAAAAATTCAAAATATGTAAAAAACAAAATAAATTATGCGTGTCCAAGCGTTTTCCCAAAAGACTAACCGTTTTTTAAATAACAAATTTGTAATATTTGAGGGGCGTTTTCACCCTCTTGGAATTTAAGATTCGAGAAACCCCTCCTTATCGAACCTCTACACCCCACATCAGTCAATCCGTTTGCCAAAAAACAACTTTACACGACAATCAGTAGGTAAGCAGAATCGTGTTTACTCAGTGGTCATATTTTATGAAACACCCTGCATAAATTTTTAAAAAATCTTAAAATATGTAAAACTACAAATTAAAATATACGTGTTTAAGAGTTTTTCCGAAAAACTCACCAGTTTTTAAATAAAAAATATTCTAATATTTGAGGGGTGGTTTCACCCCCTTAGAATTCGAAAAATCCCTTCTTATCGAATCTCTACACCGTAAAGTCAATCCGTTTTCAAAAAATCAGCTTTTTACGTCAAGCGCTTTAAGCAGGATCGTGATTAATCAATGACCAAATTTTTTAAAACACCCTGCATACATTTTTAAAAAATCTTAAAGTATGTAAAAAACAAAATAAAATAAACGTGTTTAAGCGTTTTTTCGGAAACTTGGCCGTTTTTTAAATAAAAAATATTGTAATATATGAGGGGTGGTTTCACCCCCATGGAACTGGAATTTCGAAAAATCCCTTTTTATCGAACCTCTACACCCTAGAATCAACCTGTATGCCAAAACTGAGCTTCTTACATTGAGTGGTTTGAGCAGGATCGTGATTAATCAGTAAGTCAGTCACTAAGGAGTTTATATATTAGCAAAGAGTAGATAAGATTATCTACTCTTTGATATTAGTATATGGTATAGATGTTAATTTTTGAAAAAAAGAAAAAGAAAGGTTAGGTCGCAATAAGACGATACATGAGAGTAACAGTTGTGTCTGTCATTTTAATGCACATATAAAGCCTCGTTCTCAGAACATCGACTGTCGCCAGTGACACTGTGACACGTCAAAAGAACCAATGAGATTTGTACAAAATTCAAACAGCTGTCAATTTTGAATATTGTGCAAATCTCAATTCAAAGTTATGAGAACGAGGCTTAAGTGATACTTTCTGTCATTTTTTGGATGTCGTCTGTCGAAATCTTCGCCCACTCGTAGGACATAGTTTAGATGAGGCTAGAATGACTTAATAGGTTTGATTTCCAGGCTTTTTATAAGACTGGTCGAAAAGCTACACACAAACAAGCTTCAGTATTTCGATATTGCAGACGACTTATATAAAAAAATTTCACATTTTTATTTTAGGTAAGGACTTAAAAGGCGATGAGAACATTGATAATCTTTTGAAACTTCTCCACAAAAGAGCCAAAGCTTTCGACATGTCCGGCGGTACTCTGAACCTTTACCCCTGGATTAGATTTATTGCTCCAGAAGGAAGTGGATACAGTTTACTAAAGAAGATTAACTCTGAAATTAATAAATTTATAGCAGAAACAATAAAAGAGCACAAGAACAAATGGAGAGATGGACAATGCGATGATGTGATTTACGCGTATCTGAATGAGATGCAGAAGAAACAAGTTAAAGATAATAATTTTACAGGTAAGTAGATCAATAAATCCCATTATAGTACAGGGACAGTTATTTATTTGTACTTAAGCTCATGAAAGAAAACGTCTTGCGTAACCATCTTCTGATGCGTGTCAAATACTCGTCAGCGAGTAAAGGCTGTATGTATGTAGTATCTATTTTCTATACCCATAAGTGATAAGGGCGTTCCACCCCAAAATTTTTTTCACTTTTTGGACAAAATTTTTTATTTTGATTTTTTTATGATGTGGCATTAAAAAATACAGGATTTTTCACCACATACGACACGATTAAATTTTTACAAATTGTAAGTTTTGGGTTCATTTTGTGTTCATTGGGAGGACTATTAGAGCTACAATTTAAAAATATTTTTACAAGATACAGAGCGTCCCAAATAAGTAAAAAAAATTATAGTTGTATTTTTTTAAATGGAACACCCTGTATATTATTCTATTTTTAGATCCTACCATTGAAATAACGGTAAATTTGACTAGATTTATCACATTTAAACCTTACCATTTTTGGAATATAAATGATTGTTTATATTAATAATAGTTGCTCCAAATACTAAAAAAAAACTGAATTGTGTATGTGTATTAGACAGTGTGGTAAAAAGTAACATCTTATAAATGTTATTTGATTTTTTGACGAATGTTTATTTATAACAACAGAGACAATCATTTTCAAAACTTATTATTATATTGATTTCTGAGTCAAATCCACATTTATTTGAAATAATTTATAATTAAAACAATTAAGTATGTAATTAACTAATAATTTTTAGGCGGAAATAATGATGGAATATTTAATCGATATACTCTTTTACAAAGATTAAAATAGTTTTCTTTTTGTAAACAAATGGGCTTGCAATATTATTATTTTTACCTCCTGTGCATTTTGTACATATGTTGCTTTAAAAAAATCTTAAATGTCAATATTCCATGGGTATAGTGATAAATGAGGTCTAAATTAAACTTAATTCATTAATAAATAAAATTTAATTCTTAATAAATAAAATACATTTTCTACGAAAACTTCAAGAGATAGGTAGAAAATGGTATAATACAATTTAATAGACAATTAAATTGTGCATCAGCACCCATATACAGAGTGTTCCATTTAAATTAAACAAATTATTGCCGTTTAAAGATAGTAATTATTTAATATAAATTTTTGGATTTTTGTATAAGGTAGTATAATTTTTATTATTGCAACACAATATCTGATCAATAAATAATCTTCATTAAATATTTAGTATTAAAAACTTTGACACCCTTGGAGAAACGAAGCACTAAATTTTTTACCGCAATTTCACAAAATTGAAAATATTTCAAAAACGGTAAGGTTTAAGTGTGGTAAACCTTAATCAAATTTACCTGTATTTCAACCGTAGAATCTAACAATAGAATAATATACAGGATGTTCCATTTAAAAAAATACATAATATTTTTTTACTTATTTGGGAACTTTATTAACGAACCCAAAACTTACACTTTGTAAAAATCTAATCGTTTAGCTACAATACTCCGTGTCGTATGTGGTGAACAACCCTGTATATAGAACTCTAAATTTTCACCCTTCTACCATCAACTCCTAAATTAATTTTCTGATACCATACTCCTCCGAAACGGCTTGATTCAGTGGGTCTAGGAATAGGTTGTTATTTATTTGTTATACCAAGTGATAAGGGAGGCCCACCCAAATTTATTATTTTTATTGTTTTATGATGTGGCATTAAAAAATACATACAACTCTAAATTTTCACCCTTTTCCCATCAATCCCTATTTTTTAATAGCGATATTAGTAATTTTTAAAAATTGTTAGTATACCTTAAATTAAAAACGTGAGTATGATTAAGTATATACCGGGTATAATGGTATTGTTGCGGACACGTGTGAACTCGGCCTTAGGCCGGGCCACTCGGCTATGACCCATACGCCCGGCGACGCCGACCTTCGAGAACGAATAAGAAGCTGGTGAGACGAAGAACACGGCTAAGAATTTTCGAGTCAAATCTGGATCGTCTGTTTCTCTCATATATAAGCCGATGCCGTGCCGGAAGCCTGAAGAGGACAGAGAACAAACAGACGTTCGACGTGTCCAGTTGTCGCGCGCTGAATTCAAAATAAATTTCTTTTATTTTTTGTTAATGTTAAATATTTTATTATAAAAATATTTTTTGTTATAGTTTTTGTTAATGTTAAATAAATTGTGTTTAAATAAATTGTGACTTTCTATCCACACGGAACCGACGAAAAACGTAACAGTATGTCTCCAAATTCAATATTTCATTTTTTGACTCTTTTCTTTGGGTATATACCGGGTGCAAAAACTTGGGTATTAAAACTAAAAGACGGACTTCACTTGTCTTTAAAACTAAATTTCGGACTTCACTTGTCTTTATTGGTTTTGCTTACACAACGTTTCGGTCAGAAGTATCACTCACCGAATACTGTCTTCTGCTGCATTGATATATTTTCTTAGATATTGATTCACTTAAAATAAAAACATTGCTTTCTAGATGATCAATTAGTAATGGTCTGCTTGGATATTTTCCTCGCTGGATCAACCACAACAACTAATACCATCAATTTTGCCTTTTGGTCTATGATAATGTATCCAGAAATTCAAGAAAAGGTCCATCAATGCCTTACGAATGCATTTCATGACAAAGATATTTCGTATAGTGATAGAACATTGTAAGTAAATAAGAATTGAAAATATCATGACAAAATATTGACATACTTTTTTACCTATTTCCTATTCTATATTTTAGGGTTCCTTATGTTGAAGCAGTATTATTAGAGTGCCAAAGATATTTTCCGGTAGTACCAGTAATAGGGCCAAGACGGGTTTTAAGGAAAACGAGTCTAGATAATTATGTTATTCCTAAGGTACAATATAAATTATATACAGGGTTAATTAGGCAATCCCAATGTAGGGTGTGCAATTAGGCAATCTCAACAGGGTGTCCCAATATTCCGTGGACATAAAACTATTATAGTATTTTTGGAATCAAAATAAGTTCAATGGACACAATTTACCTCTATACAAAAGTGCTTCGTTTGTCCGCTAGAGGACTTCAAACTTGAAAAAAATAAACACATTTTTTCAGATATTTTAAGAACAGTTATTCCGATGTGAATAAGATTTTGGGTGTTTATGTTTTGTTAAGTGCTTTAATATTTGACTATCACAAAAATAAAGAAAAAATACGGGAAGGGTGAAACCTGTCCCCACCATCTCATTCATCAGATCTTACAAATCATTGTTCAGAAATTCATTGTCATCATATTGAGTTGTAAGAAATCTAAAATGGAGAAAAAATATTGTAGAAAAATTACTCAGTTATACCATAATATACCATAATTTTTTTTTCTCTCCCCATATGGGATAATTAGCAAACAATAATTAAACTTAAATGTTCTAGTTATAATAATTAGCCTTTAATGATAACATGGATAGCGAAATAGTAAGAAAGTGATGTTTTATCGTATATTTTTGCCATTTCGTCATCCAAAAACACACTGAATTTGGTATAAAATGATTTATTTCATATTTTTTAGGACACTACAGTTTTAATTAACATATATTCAGTACATCATGATAAAGAATACTGGAAAGACCCTGAAACATTCAGACCTGAGCGATTCTTAGACAGTCAAGGTAATCTCCAGAACACAGAAAGAGTTTTGACATTCGGGTTAGGTAATTTGTTTAATTAAAAGTATCAAATATCCTAAACTAAGTAGTAAACTGATTTTTAGGGAAGCGAAGATGCCTTGGCGATGCCCTAGCTAAATCTTGCATTTTCCTATTCTTTGTGACTATCTTAAGAAAATATAAACTGGAGAGTGTGTCACAAAATAGTAAAGGAGAGAAAACAATAACTGGTATTAACATGACCCCGGGAAATTACCGCGTGAATTGTACTCCCAGATAATAAATCTCGAATATTTTTATTGTGTATGTGTTATATTATTCATATGAAGTATTATTAAAAGTAATTGTTAGTAGATGGACGAGTTTAATTTTAATTGAGACATAGTTTCTCTACAGGCTTGGTGCATTCTTCGCCGGTGCTGCCACCATCGGAGAATATCGTAAACAACTGATATATACTTATACAAAAATAGCAGGTTAGTCGTGACTGACTAAGTTAAGAAAAAACTCAAAATTTAAGTGAGGATGCAGTCAATAATCACCACATAGGCTAATAAAACTACTTTTTCAAATTTGTCAAGCTTTCGAGAATGTTATTCCCATCATCAGGACAGTTTGACTGAGTCAATTAGCAAAAAAAACATCCTTTGCACAAAAAGGCCTTAAAAACTAGCATCGTATGACCTTGGACTACAAGGACATTTCCTTTATAAAATATTAAAATACATATCCAACGATATTACTTTTCTTTTAAACACAACCAAAAAGATTTCTTTATATTTAATTTCTACATTGTTATTTCGAGCTCGATCAAACAGTGACTCTATTTATTCAGTTTAAATATCTTTGGTTAGATCACACAAACCTTAGGGCTCGAACTCACTGATGACCAGGTCGCAACGACCTGGCCGTCGGCTGGCCGCATGTATTGTGTTTTTAGCTGCGGCCAGATGAACGACCAGTGTCTACAGGGTTGTCAAATCTAACGATTTTTTACGTTTTACCAATTAGAAAATATTGTTTCAGAAATGTTAAAATATCCGAGTTAACTAAAAAGCGAAGTTGCTATTCACAACAAACAAAAAGCATTGTGTACGCGCCACCGACAAAAAGGGAGATATTCTGTTTCTTTTTTCTACTGATATGGCGCCCTTATCGACTTTAGAAGTAAACATATTAGGGCCATCGTAAAAAAAGATTGTCAGACACTGGCTCTCAATATAAGCAGGTAGAAAGTTTAGCTTCCAGTTATTTCAATGTTTACAATATAACGAAGAATCTACAACAGTAATTACTTCTATTTTTATGAATGTTTAAGTTACTTTCTTAATTTTTTTTTCAAAATAATGTACCTAGTAGAAAGTAGAAATATAGTCTAATGAACCCTGTTTGAAAAACGTTAAATTAAATATAATATTTAAAATACAGAAATACAGTTGTCCTCCTTGTACATGACTACAATACAACTAAAAAAACTAATTTAATAAAAAAAACAAGTGGTTGTAGAAAAACTTTAAATATTATTTTTTTTTATTTTTTAACATCGAAACTCAAAGGTATAATAACAAGTATCATACCAACCATAAATAGGGTAGGTATGTCATATAAAAATGTATTGAGTTTTTACTAGAATCGACCCTTGATAAAAAAAAGGGCTTAGATTTAAGCTTACCTTTGATCCAGTCTGTATACTATTTCTTTGGATTTTCTGCACGTGTGCAAAAACTACACTAAAACACTATATCTTATAAAAAATAAAATATTGTGCCTTGAATTTGAGGGATTTCATCTGAAAAATTATTAATTTGGAAGAAAACCGGCAACAAGCGGCAGAAAATAATATTATTTCCGTGCAGTCTTCTGGTCGCAACGACCAACGGACGGCCAGGACGTTAGTGTGCGCTATATCCACAGAACACACTAAAGAGCTATATCATTTGATTTAATGGTTTTGGAGGTAGCTGCGGCCTGCTCGGTGCGACCTGGTCGTCAGTGTGCTCGAGCCCTTATACCTGAGTCTTTGCCTGAGTGTTTTATAATTTCAATAACTACATCAGCAAAAAACTAGTGTGTTTATGAACATGATTACAACAACGATTAGAACGACGAGGTCGTAGACCGAGTCGTTCTAATCACACGAGTGTTGTAATCATGTTTAAACGCATGTGTCAAAATAAGAAAATGCTGTTTTAATTTTCGTTTATTATTCGCCCACCTTTAACACCTTTGACTATGACATTTGTCACATTTATGCTGAAAAGTCAGTTTGCCCTGTCAAGTAAACGCGAGCACTTTTTGCCCAGAAAAATCATTTTGAAAATTACGATGAGCGATTCCGAAAGTCTCCCTTCAGATGTAGAACTTGCCGCAGTACGTGCCACGGAATCATTATTGCCGGAAAAGTTAATATATTTAGATGTTCGTAGTTGTTTTTCATTATTATAGCTACTAGTTGTGTTATAGATTCATAACACCACTAGTTGTGTTATGAATCTCATAACGTAACTGAAATACTAAAAAAATAGTGATGTAAAAACGTTATAACTAAACGGTTGTAGATAAAACAATAAAAAATATTTCTATAACAAATATACCCTATATCTATTAATGTTTATAAGGCGGTACGTTTGACAGACCAGCGTAAATCTAGTCGGTCAGGGGGGTACAAAAAGAATATTTTTTTCTCTGAATACAACACACTATTTTTTTCAAACGTATACAAATTATTTTTTAATCAATTTCAAACGTTGCACATAATATAAAAAGTAATATTGTAAGTAATTATATTTATATCCAGTAACAATTTGACACAGAATAACAGTTTAATTTTAATGATACTTACAACAATATAAAGTACTTTACTTTTATACCTAGGCGCTAAAATGACAAACATTAATAATTTTGTGACGTTTGAAAAAAAATCCTTTTGATCTAAGGGAGTGACTTTTTTGGGAAATATATTGGTGACCGATGCGGAAAAATGACACGTGCTATAGAATTATTGTAATGTTATGGATATCGGACAGAGTTTCGAAGATAGCCATTTAGGATAGGACTTTAATTGGAAATAAGTCCTAAAATTATTTAGCAATCCGATTTAAATAATGCTTTCTATTAAAATAAAAAAAAAATGTTTAATCATGATTTTTTCCAACCCCGCTTTTTACTAATTAATTTACTTAAAATACAACCAATTAAATATTTCTAAACATAGTTATATTACAATACGGTAGTGGTAAGTAAATGACGTTGCACGATTGTGTCTTATCGTTTAAAAATAATGGCATGTTATGATAAGCTCAATTTTAATTTAATTGAAATTTTAATTGTGGTCAATTATTTAAGAGAAAAGTTGCTTTGTCAGCAAAATTTTGTTATTTCAGAATAATCGGTTAAAATTTCATGTATATTATTTTTTCGTCTGGTATTTGTTATTACTATATTAAATTCTGACAGCATTCCAAAAGAATGTTTTGATAATAACCCAACCAGACAGTTACGATATATCAAAAATTAGATATACGTATACGTATAGTATAGCATTGCTATACCATAGGTATATCTAAAAAGCTTTTAGCTATCTAAAAGCTTATATCCAAAAAGCTTTCACATCATAATTTTTCAATAGTTCGAAAACATTTTAAAATATTGCTATAATTTGTATGTAAACCAAGAATATACCGTTATACTATTAATATTATACACTCAGATGAAAAAAAAAACGCAACGGAGAAATTTTTGGTCAAATTTAAAGTGTTAAATTTTTGTTATTTTTAGCCCTGTTTTCATGAATTTTTTAGCAAGCTCTCTATAATTATATCAACTTTAATTTGCAAACTAAGTTTTTTTTATAAACTTTTATTATTTAGTATTTGGCATATTATACAGGGTTAATCGAGGGGATGTTTTTTTAGCCTAACTTTAAAACACCCTGTGCAATAATTTCGTGTATAAATTTTTCTAAAATATAATTTTTGCAGTCAGAACCATGACTCCTGACCATTTTGTTTTTGGATTCATGTCAATACCTGCTTTGGTTAATTTTTAAGAGCGAAATGAACTGATCAGTGATCACGATCAATTTGCAATTTTTTCAATTATCATTAGTTTTCATGTAATTTTTTAATATGATGAGATGGATTAGATGATTGTTGTCGTAACGTCATATTACGCTGCATAGCTGCATTGTATACTCTATAGTAAATAAAATAAAACGTTAAAAACTAACGATACAGTCCTGGTTAATAAACCATTAACAACGATAACAGAATTATTAACGATATTAAAGAAAATATCTGTAATACTCAAATATACAAAGAGAAAAAAAATTGTAAAAAATACCCTAATACTTTGCATTGCCTCCCTTGGCTGCTATTTATAGGAACTTTTTTACTTGTTTTTATCTGCAGAATATTCTGCCGAAGTTTCCGGAATACAGTTCGGACCACCCTGTATATGAAGAAGAAGAGGTCTACGTAGAGTCTGTAAATAATTGCAAATTATTGGTGGGAAGCTCATTGCGCTCTTTAAAATGAACCAATGCATGTATTGACATGATCCAAAAAACAAAATGCTCAGGAGACATGGTTCTGACCGTAAAATTATATTTTAGGAAAATTTACAATCGGAATTATTGCACAGGGTGTTTTAAAGTTAAGGTAAAAAAACACCCCTCGATTAACCCCGAGGGGTGTCTCACTAGGGTAAAAAATGTACACGTATTGCCAAAATGTCATTTTATACAAGACTGCCAGTGACTGCCGACGACTGCCAGTGACTGTCGACGACTGCCAACGACTGCCAGTGACTGCCAAAGACTGCCAGCGACTGCGAACGACTGCCAGCGACTGCCAACGACTGCCGGCTCAGCGGTATCTTAAGTTCCGGGCCTTTGTCGACCCTTGACATATATTATTTATCAACACATGTACAGGGTGGGCCAAATTGGATGCTTTTAAAGGGAAACACCCTTCTCTGTAGGAGATAGACGAAGACTAATATAGGTGTCTGGAGCTTAATTTTATCAAAAACATGATGAAATGGTGAAAACCGGACATAGATATCTGTTACCGTTTCAGAATTACGTTATGTTATTCTGAAATATTATATTATTCAGAATTATATATGTTATTATGTTTTTCAAAAAAGTGCATTTTTAACAAATCACTGTAACTTTTTTGCTACAAAAAATTTTGTATTTTTATGAAAACATTTTCAAAGCACCTTTTTATGTAGAATTTAATGGTTTAAGAATATTTTTTTTAAAATTAACAATTTAGGAATTATGAATAGAACATTTGATTTTTTATATGGGACACCCTGTATATTTTTAATTCATTGAAAATACTTTAACTT